CACCCTCTCTCTCTCTCTCTTGTTCTTGGCGCGTCGGAGAAATTTTTATTTAAACTATCCGGTGTCGCGTGTCGCTGCATGTGTGCGTGCGCGCGTATCAGGAGTTAAAAATAAAGAACCTCCCTGCACAAGTCGGTCTTCTCCCGCCTCCGTCGCTTCTTCGTCGTCAGGAGAGTATAGTCGCCGACACACCCCGAAGCTGTCGGACGCGGACAGGAGCCCTTAACGAAGGGTTTCCCTACTGTGTAAGAAGGGCGCGCCTAAAATCGAGGAGGGGTCTTTTTAATACTACTTAATCGCGTTTACGCCGTACGTCTTCCGTCAAAGGCTCGAATATTCACGGCAAAGTGCTTCGAAGTCCCCTTGAGGAACTAATGTAATAAACGGATGGACAAGCGGTCGATCAGCCTCCCTTGATTGGATATTGATCAGCTGTTCGAGAGAACGTCGCCCGGCCGGGCGGAAAAGAAGCGGAGGGAAAATTCTGCAGCAGTATTTTTACACGGTACGCCGGCGTGTCGTGTCGCGCTTGCGACTTTTCTTTTTTTAAATATGTATATATATATATATATATTTAAAAGAGAGAGAGAAAGAGAGAAGGAGATCTCCTCTTTTTCTCCTCACCCTCTGCGTCTCTCTCGGTCTCTCTCTGTATCGTTCTTTTTCTCTAGAAAAGTTCACGGGACACGAATAACCTCGCCTTTGTAGAAAGACGATACGTGCGCGCGTGTATGTGTGTGTGAGTGCCGATCTGTTGTCCTTCTTCTCCTCCATCCGGTTACTGCATTATCGCGATTGTTGCATCTTCGACAATCGGCATCCTTGAACGTCATTTCTTATTATGTCTTACGTAAATTTATCTTCGCTTCGCGAGATACAGAAATATCGCGATAATATACGCAATTAAATGCGTCTAGGATGCATCCAATGGTAGTGTGATATCGAACGTAATCACGACGCAGTAAAATCGCGCTGACGCATCTTCGTTTTCTTCGACGTCGTCGCTGCTAGCATGAGTGTGTGTAGTTACTGATTAGTTGTTGTTGTTGTTGTTGTTGTTGTCGAAGAAACGCGCGCCTCGTTATGCTAGTTAATGTCAAAACGCTCATTCTCGTTCGCTCGAGGGTGAAGAAAAAGCGACGCTTGCATTCTCTTGCCAAGGTGAGCGCGCCGAGATACTCACGAGCTCCTTAGAGCGTTGGTACAACACAAAGAGGGGCGAACAAACAATCCGCTTTTCAGCGGATTGATTTTTGAAGGGAGGAAGTAAACTCCCGAGTCGAAATTTTAATGTTACTTTGACGCTCTTAAGGATAGTTTGCACCTACTTACACGTTAACTATTTAACCGATAGAATGGTAAAAACCTACTTTGACGATATCGACACTTGTTAATTTCTCATTCGAACCTATACTTCTGCAGATTTCATTTTAACGCTACGTTGAACAACCTATTTGTGCAATTTATTCAGACTAGAGAAATTTCTAATTGATAGAATCGCTTCATCTGGCAACGTAGATAATTTTTCCGTGTGAAGGATCGACTTTCGCATTAGGTTCCACTTCTCGTTCACGAGGATTCCCGCGCTCTGTTAATTGTAATGCGGAGAACGCGCGTAGCACACGCGGCGAGAGACGTGAAAGGAAAGCGGCGCTTAAACGTGAAAAGATAATTATTGCAAAATTCAAATCTCACCAATGGCTGACATTATCCGCAGTCGTGATCAAAGACCGAATCGTCTAACCTGCCGGGAATTCAAAGCGCACCGACCACAAAATTTCCGGCTGAAAATAGTTGAACCTCGGAAGGTCTTTAGCCGAGCTGCCGACGCGCGAATATCATTAATTTTAATGGATAGGTATAACATTCGCCTCGTTCCTCTCTCTCTCTCTCTCTCTCTCTCTCTTTACATGTTCAACATCCGATCAAAGAACGTGCCATAAAACGTTACAGGAAACACAAGTAGTCTCGGATTCATGACACCGCGGTGTGTCACATACAAAAGTAATGAACGAAAGATCACTGAGGGATGAATAATTTCGCGAGGAGATATTTCGCGCCAGCCTCGTTAATTTTAATAGATTGTGCGGAGCGACGAAGCCGCTCATTGTGTTCATCATTGTTCACGGCCACTGTCTGAAAACCGACGGCAAGAGGCGCGGGCAAAGTGTGTTAGAACGTCTAGACAAAAGCCGAAAGACAATACTGAGAGAGACTCGACTTCTATACGAGTAGATTATCTCGAAAGCGTCGTGGCCTCAATTTTGAAAATGTTCCCGAGCTAAATGCACCGCATCGAGTGATCTTTATCTTAGTTCTTCCAGTTTAGAATTTTTGTCTCCTAATTAAGCAGCTCGAATACACATCTGCAGAACCAATGAGTAGAAGTCTAATTATTTGAAGTATTTACTTTATTTTAATTATTTATTTCTTCGATCTTCCTTTTTCTAATCATTTACTTTATTTTATTTCTTTTTTTAATCATTATAAATCATTAGAAGCACAAAGAAATTAAATATTAATACTTGATATTTTATTTCTTTTCTTTTTATTCGCTTCAACGCCTCACCTCACAACGTTAATCGCGGTCGGAATATTCTCAACGAATATTCTCACTCGTGCGGGGAATAAAATGTTTCAAAGAGGACTAAACTGTTTTTGTGGATTTTTTAGTGCCGTGATCTAAAAAAAATCTGAATGATTCTCGATTGCGTGCCGCTTCGGCAGGCAAAAAATTTGTGCAGCGCCCGACAACATCGCGATTATAGACGTAAATGTTTGTGAATCTCACGACTCTACGTTCTAGAAATATACAATAGTTTTAAGGTTTTGATTCAATTCAGCACGAAACTCAACCCTCTCCTCCGTTCTCCATTCTCTTCCATTTTTCACGAAAATAACAAGTATCCTACAAACGATAAAATTCCTCCTCTACAGTCCTTCTTGAGATGCTGTCGCGAGTCAGCACGGCGATTTATATCTAACTACCACATAGTTCCTCGTCCAGTTACTCGGAACGATTTTTCACGATCGGGGAGAAAATACTAGCGCTGGCTATCATTAGCCCGCGCGGAAAATACACTCCGGCGGTTTGTAAGCTCTAAATTGAAACGTCGAGGGTCCTCGAATCGTTACGACAGCCTCTCTCGTTCCCGACGACGACGACGACGACCCTATTCTAAATCCTTAAATCCTGGCACTTAGTGCGAAATTAAGTGCCACCTGGTACCGGGTATAAGCGTGGCCTTCAGGAGATGAAGGCAAATGTTTGATCGGACATTATGACCGTACCCTCGGGGGAGGAATTAGAGTTAATAGAGGGTTATATCGACCGGGTTTTTCGCCGCACAAAAGCCGCTACGTCTTCCGTTGACCGGTAAACCACCGATGGTCCACGACCGGCGTTTTTCACGTGGAGTCCTACGGTCCTTTAATTGGACGTCGTTCCTCCCCAGGAAGCAATTTGAAGCGAACGAATAAGGGCGTCGCCCGAGCGCTAAACCGATACGGTATCAATCTGCGATTAATGGATAAGATCCCTGTGAGGATATTAAATGTTCAATTGTGCGGCGGAGAGAAGAAATGTCCGATCGATTCGAACGGACCGCCGTCCCGAGTCGTTCCTGCCCTGGGGCAAATATCGAGTGGAATTATCAACGGCGTGCTCTACTGATTTTTATTACAGTGGCTATATTTTATAGTTATTGTTATTATTTTATTATTAGAAAGAAAGATACTATGAAGATGATTTTATCCTCCCGCTGAGATCGAAATTATCGCGTTCAACGATAAGTCTTACACTATAAATCCAGGTGCGTAATTTTTATACACTTACATGTATAAAAATAGTTACTTTTTACACATTTTTTACGCATGTTATTTTATTACATAATTATACATTAAAGTCATAAGTCAACAAGAGGATTTAAATGTATAAAAGAACCTTTATCTGCGTACTTCTAACACATTTGCATTAATGGGAAATAAGGAGAAGACCAATTCCGCCGATTTGTGAGAAAATATTTGTCGTGCGGCTTACTCTTGAAAATTAATGATCGGCTTACGTGTATTAATTTGGACCATCAGGCGTGTCATTTAATTAATCCGCCTATATTGCTGATCGATGACGTCTTCGCCCTCCCCCCTCCCCCGCGAACACCACCTTACCCATCTACTTCCGTCCATTCTTTCATCGTCACCGTTCCTTGCACCTCGGTGACGGCGTCGCACCGAGTTATTTATTTAATTGGACATTAAAGCGCGAGAAAGCAATTATGAGAAACGATGAGCTGTCTCTATGCCCCTTTGGGGAACGGTATATTTTAATTAAAAGCAGCAGAAACGGGGTGCGGGCAAGCGGCGGGGGACAGGAGGGAAAAATGAGGCCGTTCTTCGTTGTTATTCGCTCGCCCGGGCGAGTTGAAAAGACGCCGCAAGTGTCCGCTCGATATTCGATGATTGCTCGCGTCGTATTTCCGGCTCATTACGATAGGATGCTATTTGTCGTTAATCAACTGGACTGCTGTTGGAATCCGTATATTATCGTATCGAGATAAATGACAATGTGGGAAACTAGGATATCTCTTGAAAAAATGCGACGGTCGATTATTAATCGTAAAAACCCGAGTAGAATGACAGAAAAACACGTTGGATCTAAAGAATGTATATCTTCAAATTTAGAATCGTATCAATTTGAAGATATTGTTCTTTCCCCATGTAATATTTTTCTTCTGAATTCATAAAAATTATTCTCGAATAAAAGTATATGATGTTTTCAGTGGAACTGTATAGAATTTCTTCATGTCAAAAGCAAATTTTATCTTTACATAAGATTATATATTCTTGCTTATATATGTGTGAGAATATAAGTCTTGAATTGTTGTTAATCTCTTTTCTATCGTGTATATCGAAATCATCGTGAAAATGATGAATCTCAGGTGATATCACTCCCACGAAGAGCACTATCTTCTTCTCTAATGCTTGACTTCTGTATATTTTAGGTGAACGGACAGGACGTTTCGAACTCTAGTCACGAAGATGCTGTGCGCTGCTTCCAGTCGGCCCAGGAGCCAATTATCGTTGAAGTTCTTCGACGACAACCGGCGCATCAACAGGTTCCTCACACGCCCTCAAAGGAGCACGAAAGGATCGCGTGCCAGGATAAGAGTGAGGGAACGACGAACGGGAGGGGTCCGATAGACGATAGAACGTGCAACGACGATGCGAAAAAGGACACGGCGTCCCCCTTGGTGTCGACCGCGGTCCAAACAGACTGGGCCGGTCTCATTGAGGAAGAGGAGCTACTTCCGGTTCCTCTCGTAGTCGAGGAACAGGCGAACGACAGCTTCGAGGACCTTCTCGCTCACGACATCGACTTCGAGGTAATGGCACGATTGTTAAATCCAATTGCTAGCGCTTCTTTAAAACGCGCGACGATTTGCGACTCAGTTCTTCATATTGAAATTCACCTTGCACATTTATTGATAAATTATAGTGAAAAATATATATATGATGTGGAGCGTGAGAAATCGGGAAAGAAAAAATTCTAAAATTTGGCCTGATTTCTCTCTTTTATTTATAATCTCGTCTTAGAATGCCCTAAAGAAATTATTATGTTAAGAACATACGGTGATCCTGGGACATTCTTTGTATTGATATAGAAGATATTACGTCATTTTTAACGTAATGTGAGTTCCTGAATTTCAATATTCTGAGTAAAAGTATTCATATTGAATTCATGATTCTCGCGTCGCGGGTAATCAATCTGTCCCTGAGGGTGACATTGGAAACACAGATAGAACGAAGAGTCGGGAGAAAGAAACGCGAAACAATTTGACAAGATAATTTATACACGCGTATATAATAATTAAGGGAACAATAGAGTAGCTGGATTCTCTCCACGTAATCGCGTGACTCGCTTTCCTGTAATGTGTTTGCTCAGCGGTGATAATGTCAGCGCTTTAACCAGTTGCCCGGGGAAAGCTTTATGCAAACACGCGTATATTTATTTCGTCCAACATTGTCTGACAGGGCGGACATTAATACGGTTGCGAAATGCTGCAGGAGGTGACGTTGCGGAAAAGCGGAAGTGCCGAGAAGCTCGGGCTGACGGTGTGTTATAGCTCCGGTTCCGGCAGCGAGGACGCCGACACAGAAGTTTATATCTCGGAAATAGTTCCTGAAAGTCTCGCGGCCCGGGACGGCCGGCTGCGAGAGGGAGATCAAATCTTGCGGGTAAAACAGGCTTTACATCCTCCACCCTGCTGTTCTCGCGATCGAGAATCACGAGAATTTCGCTATCAAAGTGTCGCGTCGATGGTCGCGCTAATTTACCGCGATAATTCGCCGAATAAATCATATCAGGCTGAGAAACACGAGAGAAAAGGAGAAAGAGAGTATAATAACGGGGAATATCCGGTGAAATTTCTGCAACGTTCGCGCGAAGACGATTCAATTTCGCCGATAAAACCGCGGATTTCGCCGTTATCGTCAGTTATTCCGAGCACGATATGTCTCACCTCTCGCTTCTCCCTCGAGCTGAAGAGGACCCATATACGCGGGCGAAAGCTCGTTGCCGTGGCGATACACATTACGAAATTTACACCGAAATTGAACGAGTCATTCGGAGTACGTTGGTCGAGATAGCGAAATTTCGCGTCACGGATCGCGACGTTCGCGAATTTCCCCGTTGACGCCTCATTATTCCCGCCTAGGCTCTCTAAGCTCCGTAGCCCTCTAATCCCATTAGGTAGATTATAATTACGATCCGCGTGCTCTCTTTCTCTCTCTCTCTCTCTTTCTCTCTCTCTCGCTCGCTCGCTCGAGCGAAATCTTGACGAATCGGACGGAATCGTGGATGAATATATGATGGATTTGTCGCCGTTTTTCTGCTTAAGTTTTTTTTGCCAATGAGCTTCTGAGGAGCGTATTCGCGTCTGGTGTAGTTGGCGGTTCGTTATTCGGCGTCTTGCCCGCAAAATTATCCCCGCTCGTTTAGACCGCCAAGGATCGCATTCTCGCGGATAATCGAAGATAAATTATGTTTTCAGTCATTTTGAACAATTTTATTAATAAAATACTTATTGACAAGAGTAGCGCTTGAACCGCCTAATTGGATGAAAATCACACCAAGTCGAAATATCGGTCGATAAGTTATACCCCTCGTTATTTTTCTCACCGTATTATCATTATCGTTGTTATTGTAATTATTACGATTGCGAGTGTAGATTCTGGAGAACGGGAAATTTACGTTGAGGCAGCCCTATCGAAGCGCGAGGGGTTTCTAAGCCAGATTTACATTCGGAGTACGACGTTTCATCATGCATGTACATCTCTCGCGAGAACAGTGACTCATTTCGAAAATCAAGAAGCGGTCGCGCTATATTCATTGAGGGTGGCCTCTCCGTTTTCGTTCCAGGTCAACGGCAAGGATGTCGCGAACAAGGAGCAAACCGAGAACTTGTTTGCGGAGACGAAAAATGCAGTGACGATCCTCGTCAGCCGATGCCTGTATCAAGTTGGTTCCCATTTCGCATATTATATTGTCGCATTATTATTGAACTCAAAATTGATTGTGACAAAATTATCGCACAGAGATCAGCTTCGAGAATGAATATAATGTGAAACGTAACACAGTTCGGAGAAATAATTCAGTAATAGCAACTAAATCTTCTTCGAACTGTGCTTCGTCATCACTAAGAGTTGACTATTAAAGATAAAATGTACTTGTTGCAAGGTATAACTTTATTAACTGATATTATTAGTACAAGTAGAGTTAAGATTGATTGGCTGTGCTGATTATACCATATATAGACGATACGAAACACCTTTATGCCAGCCGACGAGTAGTGGTAGACCTAAAGTGATGAGCTCGCCATCCAGAGGTTTCGTGTTCGAGTACGTTAGATTCAAAGACGCGCATCTCAGCTGCCACGGCTATATTGTTACGCTCGCGCGGGGAAAATAAACGAGACAATGTTGAAAAAGAAAACAACTTCAACTATATTTGCTATTTACAAGGAAGCACACGTAACTCGCAGGCTCAAGCTCTCTCTTTCGTTAAAGACCGTCGCGCACGTCACGACGACTCAACCGCCCCAGAGAGAATCTATCTAACCCATTGTTTATCCGTCAACGCTAATCATCTGTTGTTTACGACTCGTTGCCGAGAGAATCAGCTGTATGTTCAGGGTGCTAAAAGCGCGGGCATCAAGACACGGGCGTAACAATATTTTAGCTCCGACGGCTAATTCTTTGTCCGAGCGCGGGAATCGCGTGAGAAAAGATTCTAAAACTTCGTTCGCGATTTCTCCTCGACGTCTCTCCCCCCATGTGATGAGAAAAAGGAACTCTGTTGTGTAACTCAAAATTAAATCAATCATCGTATGATATATATTGATATACGCTTTTTTAGACTAATCAATTTACTCCTATTTCGTAGGACGAGGAGTACGATGACAGGCGCATCTATCATCAGGTAAGTCGTGTTACCCCCTCGGGAGGGGAGGGGAGAAAAAGAAGGCACGAAACGTACGGAGAGCATGTATCGTTATCTATCACGAACATTCTCACTTCAGGGCTCGCCGCCGCTCTCGCCTGAGAATCTACCGGCGTATCAGAACAGCATGATCGAGCAGCTGATCCGTCAACAGCAGCAGCAAACAGAGGAGCGTACCAAAGAAAGCGAGGTAAACAACTCCACCTTGAAAGCGCCTCCTCCTATACCTTCTCATACTCAACAACAACAGCAGCAGCAGCAACAACAGCAGCAGCAGCAACAACAGCCGGTCAACATTTTCTCCACGAACTCGTCGTCCACGTGCTCGTCGCAGAACTCGCAAAAGTCCAGCAAGAACGCGACCTCCCCGGCGCACCACACGGAGGAGCGCAAGCAATGGATGCAGGACGCCCTGAAGGACTGCTCGAAGAGGCTCGACGGGATTACCTTGCGCGGACAACAGTCCGGGCCGCCGGTGAAGCTCGTCGAGGCGTACTCGAGCCACGTGTGGAGCGACACCGAGCACATCTACGAGACGATACCGGAGTCGGACAGCGAGCCGATCTACTCGTCGCCGTACGAACACCACCAGCATTGGACGACGCAGACATCGACGACGACGAACCATGCGGCGACGTTGCAGCACCCGCCGCCGAACCACCAGGCGACCGTCGGCAATCAGAAGTGGCACTCCTCCTCGAAGAGCAACAGCTCCGGCGAGGAGAAGGACAGCTCGAGCGCGTACAACACCGGCGAGTCTTGCCACAGCAATCCTCTCACCCTGGAGCTCCACCAAGGCGAGCGGGATCACCACAAGAGCACGTTGGTGCTGTGCCCGCCGAAGGCGGCGGCGGCGGCGGCGCCGCCGCCGCCGCCGCAGCAGTCGACGCCGCAGCAGAAGCTCGGCTGCAACTGCCCCATGCCGGTGACGCCGAGCGCGACTTCCGCCGGCAGGCAGTCGAAAAACCAGAGCGCGAGGAAGAGCTCGTCGTCGTCCCATCATCACCGGGAGCGCAACGAGCCGGCGATGACGAACGCGAACACGCTGCCGGCCGACACGATGTACACGAACGTGGCGAACCTGCAGCAGACGATGATGCTGCAGCAGCAGCTGTTCAAGCAGGCGCTGAACCGGCGGAACCTCACGACGAAGGAAGCCGGTGGCGGCACGCGGAAGTCCAAGTCCCACGGTAACTTCCAGGCGCCGAACCTGACGCAATATCAGTTCGTCGGCAGCCAGCAGGTGTGCACGTCCACCACGTGGATACCGCCGGAGGACAAGGGCGAGGTGCAGATGGAGTGGAAGGTGAAAAGGCGGGCGGACGGGACGAGGTACATCGCCAGGCGGCCCGTGAGGAATCGGATCTTGCGCAACAGGGCGATCAAGATATCCGAGGAGAGAGCCGGCCACACCACCGAGGACGATACAATGTCGGAGATGAAGGTGAGCGCGGCTCGATGGTCGCGGTACGACCGAATCTCGACTGAACTTAAGGTAGTTGGCCCGTAAGAATCATTTTCTTCGGAATCTTTTTCAATTCTCGTTGTGTGTCACTCACTTGAAAATATTTCACCGTTTTTACCCTCTCGTCACGGCCCGTTTTTGCACACCTTCTTGCGTTGTTTCTTTGGTTCTTGCACTCCCGGGCGAGCAAGCGCGGTCCGTCAAGCGAAGGAGTATGACGACCGTCTTCGGTACTCGTCTTCAGCCGATGAGTCACAGCACCGTTGATGCCTCTTTTACTCGGTTTCGTTTTAATGCAGGAAGAAGCACGTTAAAGAGTCGTGCACGTATACTCGTGCTATTTCAAAATGTGTAATATATAAGTGCTTGCGAATATTTTGTACACGTAGCTGAATGCACGTTCACACATTTCAAATTTACACATTTACACGATTTTAGTACAAAATAAACTTATCAATGTAGCCAGGTGAAAGGTTTAAACGTAAATAACTGCTGGAGAACCTCAAATTTTTTTCCCCGAAAAAAGCTCATGCCTCTCCTTAAAACTCGTACAAATATCTTCTTATAACTTACTTTACTGATTATTACAAAAAAACGCGGTTTTTGGTAGAGTAGTACCTCCAAATATTCACTAAAAATAACGTAAAATGCAGAACAGACCTATGGCGGACGGTGATTTTTTGCTAAGATGATCGATGGTAGCGAACGTGTTGAAGCAATTTTTTTTTCTGAGAAAAGCGATTCACCTACTCATTTATCACGATCGTAACCTATCGCTGATGGAAAAAGAAAACACGCCTTCTCGTTTCACCAGGTAGGGCGGTACTGGAGCAAGGAGGAGCGTAAGCGGCAACTGGAGCGCGCGCGCGAGCGCAAGCAACGGCAGCAGGAGCTGTTGCTGCAGCAGCAGCAGCAGCAGATGCAACAGACCAACGACGTGCCGATATGCGAACACACGGAGGACAAGGTATCGAAAAAGCCGCTGAACATCGTGGAACTCAGTCACAAGAAGATGGCGCGCAAAAAGACGACCCTGGACGACTTCACCACCGTGCAAGAAATGTTGGTTCACGGGAACAGGGTGGGAGCAGGTGGCCCTGGCACGGGGGGGAAATTAATGGGTCTACTGTCGGTTACCACAGTATAAGCGGACTCGGTTGTACCTTTTAGTTGTCGAAGTTTCAATCGCTCGTCCTTCAGCCGCCGCGTCCCGTCGTCGCGAGCATCCGCGGATTCGTGGACGTTGAAACGCGCATGAAGACACGCGTCTCTCGCAGCGAGAGAGGAAGAGAGAGAAAGATATGGCTTTTGACGACGCGCGTGTGGGAGAGATTCTGAAACTTTTACGCGATCCGCGCAACACATTGTGCGAGGCATCCCGCTCACGGACCGGATAACGAGCTGAAAGGTGTCTGATATTTGTTCGGACAATCTCTGGCGAGACTGTTCGCTCGAGATACGCATGTATACGCGCGTATACGGAAAAAATCGGTTCCTGCTACTGAAGAGGACCCGGATGAAAAGTCGGTGGTGAAAGAAATGGCGCGTTTGCCAAGAAGAGACACAGGCGACACTGTCAACTAAGGATGTTGTGATATCATGAAAATATCGATACTAATATTAAAATGGGTCATCTAATCGAGAATATCGATATCATTAGTGATACCAGTATCAGAACAGAAATATTGGTATTGGTATCCGAACTTTGTCTCTTATAAGCTGCTTTTCAACTCTCGATTGAGGGACCTGCGACAATCGACTGAGCAGAAACCCGCAGGAATCTCTCTGTTCTTACAACCGAGTTTTCGTCTGATCCTCAGATAGCGGAAAATTCAATCGCACCAACCGGAACTTCTCCGTGTACACGTGGTAGAAGTGCATGATATTTACTCGGCGGCCGCGATGCAAAGCGGAATCCTTGTGGCGTCGCGGTGTTGGCTCCTCGATGAAGATGGAAAAACTTGATGTCGCAGTTTTCGAAATACGCATATACGTAGACGATCACGATGACCACGAAAAGCGAGGTAGTCTCGCCTAGAGTGATCTCCCTTTAAGAATTTGGATATCTCTGACTTTTCTTTTATCAAAAATAGCGTCCGGTTTGTCACTAGAATGTCTCTATTTATGAAGAGTGTCTACAATATATTGAATTCATATCAGGCACATTTTTCGGAATATATATGTGACTTATTTTATTATGAGAAAGCGGGATAAGATAGTGGCGCTAAGAGAAGGACTTGATAAAAACGAAACGAAATTTTAATTGATTGATTAAAATTCATCAATAATCAGAGTCGGAGATGGCCAGCCTCTTATTTGACCCGGACTTGAAACAGAATGTGGCATTCGGCGGTCTTCGGACACTTGTGATTCCACGACGAGAGAGAGAAGCGCGTCGGACTGCAATAACACAAAAAACGTGGGAGCTTGCGTTATCGCTGTTTTGTGTACACATGCGTGGAGTTTATATGCAGCACGTTCGCCCTAACCGATTCTGTAAATATATATCTCCGTCGTACACGATATGATATAATGTAGATTTTACACGCGCGTGCGAGCGCACGCACGCCCGCCTGCACACGGCGAGAGGATTTCACACGTGCGGTGGAATACCTTCACCGTTGTGCCACGTGCTGGTGATAATAGAGTCTGTAGATATGTATGATAAACTTAAGCACGACGTATGTAACGTGGCACACGTGGATATTCTTTTCGCTTTTCGCGCCATGAGAGAGAGACCCGCGGCGTATCCCGGGGATCACCACCTTGACCTGATTAGTTAAGGTAGAAACAATCTGGTTCTGTTTTCTATCGCTGCACTGGCTGCATTTCTTTCGTGAGATTGAGTGGGGAAGAGAGGAAAAGAGAACTGGTACGAGCTAGTGCAGCCAATGCAGCAACAGACAATCCAATGTTATTCACAGCACCGGTGGTACTCTCTTGTTTGTCTCTTCCTTTCTTTCTCTCTCTCTCTCTCTCTCTCTCTCTCTTTGGTCCGCTCACGCGAATATCGCTGTCTACAGATCGTAGGGCACATACGCAGCGTTGTGATTTTTACACAGTTTTTGTAAAAGTATTTAGGGAACGGACAGAGCGTCGTTGTCGTGAGAGATACACGATATTAAGGGAGGCGCGACACCCGTGTAATGCGTGTAATCTCGCTGTCAATCACCACATGTCGCATGCAGAGTCCATCCAGTATGAATCTGGACTTTGGCTCCGACTTTTGACATAGAGCCATGAGTACTAATTTTTTCGTGAATATCAAGGATATACACGCGATGCTGAAGAATATCTACATTTTCACTAAATTCCCGCCTTATCGTCACCAACTTTCAAGGCGAAAAGTTCACGTGAGAAGTTTTATATTTTCACAGTTTGAAAAGTTCCATGATCGTCGAGAGTTCGCCTGGAACTTTTCACATTTCCGTCCTAGGGAAATATTTATATGATCGCTGCCCGGACACATTTTTATAAGGATCATACATGTGATTTATATTATTATGTATTTTCACAATACTATTTGTAAAAACAGATTTTCTAATTTCTTAAAAATTAATTTCTCTATTACATATTCATTTCACTATAACTTGGCATTTCCTATCATAGAATAATATTTAATTACAAACGAAATCCCTTCATTCAACTAATCCTTAGTTCCATTATTTTTGACCAAGTAAGGAACTAAAGCAATCAGTAAAACGTCGGATATGTCCAGACTCTTACTTGAGGGAATCTAGTCGCATGCATCAAAGTCGATCGTCACTTCTCGTTCGGGCTCTTTCTTCCGCTCGCGCCTCCCGTCTCGCCCGAGAGAGATAATCAAACACTAGGATTCTATACTGCCGATAACCGTGAACCCTATATATTTTAAAGCACATTGTGCATTGCACGCGCATTGAAGAAAGGCGAGAAAATGTGAATAAGGAGCGCGCGTCAGGCATGATCAATTATCGCGACTACTTCCTTGACGACAGAGCTCACTACGTAAGGTAATGTGGTGCGACCACGAAGAAACGATGTTAGATACAAACTATAACGTTGTAGAAAAATACCGCCGTACCGATGTAGATTAAGCACGTAAAAGCCCACGTATGCTGTCTTTTGTATGTAGAATGCGACGTAACGATTCTAAAAAAAAGAGGAAAAAAAACCCGGAAGAAAAAAGGAAAAAAAAAAGGATATGTGTAATGTAAATAAAAGAAAAACCCGAATAAAACGTAACATTAATATATGCAATGTAGTGGTGACGAATTAACAACGTCCGTAATTTAAGTATCGGCGTCGCGATCCGTAGGAATTGTATTAGAAAATCTCGTAGCAAGATCTTCCCCTCCAGAACGCCGACAGATTAGCGGCAAGAGGAGGCGATGATGCGATCTCGGGGGTGACGGGGAAACGACTCGGGCACGAGAATAGAAAAGAAGACTGCTCGTTTATTATGAAATTCAAAAATCGTGTTCCGATCGAGATGTGAAGTTGTTTTATTACATAAGCGCATTGATGTTGATGTTATTGAGGACTTTCAGCTCTGGCACATTCAGGTGTTGGAGATACATGGGGAAGCAGTGATGGGTGGAGAAGTTCAGCAGGAAATCGCGCAGATACTGGCTCATGTTCAGATGGTAAATCGAGTCGTGCACCAACTCCGGGTCCTCGTCGGCGTCGTCGTAACTTTCATCCGCGGCATCTATCCCTGCAAAGAGACCCGCCGTGTGACACTCGTAGTTACTTCCTCGACGAACGATCATCACGTGAACTCGCGTGAATTATTCTTGTTGGAGAAACTCACGTAAGATATTGTTCTCGGTTCCGGGATCTATCAATACCTCTTCGCCCTCGTCATCCTCCTCCTCGTCGGATTCCTGCGAAGAAATCGTGTCGTTTTGACAAAATGGAACGACTTCTCGCGGAAACGAGTATCAGCTACGACCGCTGCGGTTTGTTCCCGATGTCGTTTGAAAATCTATGCGTTAATATGCTAATTTATCATATTAATTAACATTGACATGCGTATATCTATGAGTGGAGGTAGATGTGTGGAGAAAAAGCGCAACGTACTTAATAACGTTGGGAAAACTGTAAACATGAAGAAAGGAGAATTCAAGATATAACTCGTGTTTAGCAGCCAACGCGTTAAAACGAGAGACGCGATGACGCCGGTGTTACTCACATTCGTATCTGGAGTGGCACCAACCGCTTCCATATCGACCGACAATTCGTTGATGATCACTTTAAAAATCTTTACAAGTACAGGCACCGTAGTCCATTCGTAAGGCCGCGACTCGGTTTTGCTTCTGGTCCTCACCCCGTCCTCGATCCCTGCGCATTTCGGCAACTCAAATTCGATCGGTAAGAAATAATAAAATGGCCAATATAAAGATTCTCGTTAACCCAGACCAGCCATCGCGCTAATATAAGTCTATTCTTTTAGTTGAGCTCGTACTTTTTGCCTTCAGAGAGAAACAAGTACGCGACTTAAGGTTGAAATGAAAAGGAGCCAAGCCCCAACGTACTAATTTAACTTAAGAGAGTTTCGGCCGAAAACTGGACCAAGTGATCACAGGACGTTACGAACCTGAGATGATCAGGTCTCCTTTGACAGTGATCTCGTCCAGCCTGCTGTCGCCCTGAGTAACCCCGTACTCCAAGATCTTGCACAACGCGACCGTGGCGACTTTGCAGTCGTACCTGCCGACGAACAAGTGCTGTCTACTGACCCATTCGGACAACACGAACGCAAGAGCGCTTTGTCCCGTGGGTCCGGGCACGGTCGACAGGAAGTTCAGTACCGCGTCGAATTGCGTGTTGATCAGGTGCGCGTAAATCATGAGCAAGCTCTGCATGACGATCAACGTCTCGACGGTCTGCATCTTGCTCAGCACCGCTTTCAACAGCAGATCGAGATTCTCGCCGAGGCTGTTGCCCACGTTCCTGATCAGCGTCGTCACCAGACGCCCGACGAAACTGGCCGTGAACTCGCTCGACTGAAAAACGACAGCGTTAGCAGCGACGTTGGACACAAATTTGCCACCTCGTGGCTGGACGAAGTTGAATTTCTATTAGGATCAGTCGGTCGATCAGTTCCGATGGAGCCAACGGTACCTGCGGATTTAACAGCTGGCCGATGATCTGCAGTATGTACTGCAGGCCGGTCCGTCCTTCGCCGTCTTGATGCGCAATTACTTGCTGCGCCGACACGGCCAAATACGTGCGTATCAGTTCACCGCCGCTCTGCAGTGTTACGTGGTCCTCCGAGTTCAGGACGCAGTGACAAGCGGCCGGGAATGCGGTCTCGAGCAATGCGTTACTCAAAGGTGACGGCGAGTACTGCACCAAGACTATCAGAACGTCCAGCGCTGCGGCTCGAGATCCCTCTGATGAAAGAAGGAGAACGAATATAATATATAGTTCCCCGATTTTTATGGATCAGTCCGAATCTACGATAGGTGTTTGCGAGCCTTTGGTCTCCTGCTCTAATAAAACGTGACGTAATTTCGGTAAAAGGACATTTTCTGCCCTGCCAAAAGCCACAATAACGCTTGAATCTTGGGAATTGCGACGAAAAGATCTGACAGCGCTGAAAACGCTCTCTGCCGGAAATTACGTTGCGAATTCATAGTTAGAACAAGAGGCTCACGACTACGGTGATTACAAATCCGGACTGATCGACAAAGTACGTACCGTCTTTCGACTTGTCCAGCGGTGTAATCGCCATCATACTCGTTAGAGTCGGTATTATACGAGTTTGCAGTGGCCCGATGCAGCCCGGATTCTGAGTCAATTCCTTGAATATGTCGTGGCATAGTTGCAACATCACCGGGTCGCTATGAAACTTTAGAAACACTGCAATTGTCAAAGGACAAATCTCGTTTTCCACTGATGCTGTAAATTCTTTATGTAGCTATAAACACAAATAAGATCGGAGTAACTTAAATAACGGAAAAGACGCATCCAAGAAAAATGTGTGCGCAATGGTAAGACTTTGTTAGTATTACCGCAATTAGCACGTGAAACGTCTCCATGACCAGGAGCAGAACGTCCGTGGACGGCTGACTAGCTAGATTAAACAACCCGCGGAAAATGTTCGGTAAATGGCAGCGTATTATATTGGCGATCGATTCCTCGGACGGCGTCTCGCAAAACCAGTAAATCGCCTTGACGGCGCTAATGCGAATGCAAGACGGTTGGTTCTCCTGCAAGCCGTTCACCGTCGCCTCGAGGAATCGCGAGCTCACTTCCGGCGGCATTATTTGAGCATACCGTCCGCCGAGACACAGGCAACGACCTAATAGCAACGGAGGCGAGCCTGAAACAGAAAAATGGCCTGTGGCAATCTCTGATGGATCAGTTCAGAGGGAAAGAAAAGGCAACTTCCCAGATCGGAATACATACAGAGTGTTTCGAGGAAACCGACAAACTTCTAGAATGTTTCACAGATCATTCTAAATAAAAAAGTCCAGATATACCATAGATGAATTCAGTTCGATTATCGAGATATGAGAAATTTAATTCTTGCCAGCAACACTGGCAAGCGAACTATTGACCAGTGAATTTATTGTTTATACAACAAAGTTAAGGTTACCAAGTATGTCCTTAAAGTATGTATATTTTTTCTTGAATCCTAATCTATCCCAATTGAACTGGAAAACCAGAACGTTCTTGTGGCCAATAAGAAGTCCCAATCTTACACCACTAGATTTTTTTTTCTTTGGGGACACAGAAAGATCTAGTCTACTAGGACGAAGTCCACGATTCAGAACAACTATGACAACTGACAGTTAACACCATTCGCGAAATTCCAAAGATTTCTTAAAGAGCTCGAAATAATTTATTAACGCATGCTACAAAATATGTATAAATATATTCACCTGAATCATTCAACATGCCTAAAACGACGGTGTCCAGGAATCTGATAAAATCGAATTGCAATGTCCCAGCCTGTTTTTTTTCAACAATGACATCCTTGCAGATATTCAGTGTCATGATAGAGGCTTCCTGTATTTTCCACCAAGTCTCGTTGCTGTTGCCACCATCATTGTTAGCTTTCAAGGCGTTCGTGTCCTCGATATGTCGCGTCACGACGTCGCACAACACATGGATCCCTACCTCCGCGAAATGATTGACGAGAGTCTGCAAGTAACAAAATATCAGTGCACGTGAAAATGACACTTTGGTTGCGTCCGTATCGTCTATTGTCGCCGTTCTACCGTCAGAAGCTCCTGCGCTGAGATTCTAACGTTGTAACTGAGGCACTGATCATCTTCCTCGACGAACTGATTCGGATTATTCGTCCACGACTGAATCTGATCGGGCGTGATTTGCATGAATATTATCAAATAATACATGAGCTCTGGTAGCAGATTATCCAGCAAGCTCGCAAACTTTTTGTGGTCCGCTATAGATTGAACAAACTCGAATATCGCGATAATCAGATTGTTGAAGTTAATCACTTCGCCTGAAAGAGATGTATATATTTGTATGTATATATTTGTGGTGAAATAAGATTCACCACACACACACACACACACACACACACACACACACACACACACACATATACACAATAGCTACGAGGGTAACTCAATAAACGTAAACGCGTATAACATACCATCGGAATCTACTTCTTTGTCGTTAATGTCTTCGTCTCCGTTCACCGTCGTTTCTTGATAAGTCTTCGCGCTTTGTGACAACATTTCCCATACAGATGGTAGCATCTGAGGCAAATAGTCTGACACGTACTTAGGCAATTTCGTAACAAGACCGTTTATAGCTTTAATAATATCCGTTTTAAATCCAATGTCACTGGATGGGCCATTAGGCACTCTGAGGCACTCAACCGATTTCTCGCAAAACATGGGAATGACTGGCTGCAGATACTGTTCTACAAATCCCTTTTCGTAAATTCCCGTAACAGCCAAAGTCATAACAGTCGCGAAAATCTCAACTGCACGACCGCGTGTCCTGATGGGATACTGGAAAATAATCGATATTAAGCTGGGGATACAAAATGGAGAAACAGGAATTACTCTGGTATTCCATCGAATTTACATTTTCACTTTGGAATATCCTGTACATCTCTTGTAGAATAACAGGCCCCACATTGGGTAACTGAACATCTGTGAGATCCCGAGTGAATTCTATCAAGACTCTCATTGCTCCGTGAACGGAATACTCATTTTCTGTCCTTAAACAACTGACAAGAATTTCAAAGAGGGACGGCCAATTCTCAGGCCAGTCCCAATGTGCTATACCGGATATTGCATAAGCCACTGTATTGCGCACCTAAGATCGATAATATCTTTTCTACATCACATACATGTATGAAACATTGTTTTAGTACACACAGTGAAATTGTATAAATTGATAAGCATTGGTAAGCATAAGTTGTTCATCCCTATAATTAAGCAAATTACCTTACTGATAGATTCTCGAAGCCCTAAAGGTAATAACTCTTTGATCCTTTGCTTAGTTTCATGGTTAAGTTCCGGCGGCCGAAACTTTTCAGCCAATGAACACCAATGTGTTTCGACATATTGTTTCAGTAAGACTGAAGCTAACTGTCTGATTGGTAAATGCCCATTTGGATCCACGACAAATTCTGTCAAGTGTATTCCATATTCTTCTGTAACCTCTAAGGCTTGAATTCTTTGCTCAGCAGCTTGGAGAGTTTCACGATGTGGTGATAAGATTCCAGTCAGTGTCTCGTACAAAGCCTCTTTTAGAGAGCCTTGTATATCGTTAGTGACCACATTCATTGCGCGAGATAAATATTAACTTACTACCCAGCATCTAGGAAGCAAAATTATCAGATAATCAGTAAGACTTCCGTGATTTGCTTATCTATCGTAATGATATATATTTTTACCTAAAATTGCTGCACAGTTGTTCTATTGGTCGTCGTTTATTGTACCTGTTATGTCTCAATTATGACATCCAACATCTCCGAATATCTGTGAAACATCATGTCGATCGTATAAATGAAGAGAAACAAGACTGGTGCGCATTTTTACGCGAATCTAACAATAAAAGGGGCGTAAAACGAGTAAGAAAAGGTAAAATTTATCAGGTGAGAGACATTTGTCAATACAGTGACTGCATATACAACATTCAAAAACACGGTCGCACGAATGTTTGCATTTTACTCGAATTGCCGTCGATTTAATATGCACGTAGAACTCCACACGGTCATCGTTACGCGGATCAATATGACACGAGTAAAACTTTTATAAATGTAAAACGAAATAGCACAATGTAGAAGCAAATGTACGTACGTATGTGTATACGAATACTTGCACCTCACCGGTAGTACGTGAACGAATGTTCAAAATTCTCTGCAAGCCGGCTCTCGACAGATTGGTTATTTCACCGTTCACGTATTCGACAAGATGCGTAATCGCTCAAAGTTTATAGAAACCAGTACAGGGATCTATGGGTACAGTCAATGCTTGAAACACAGTCAATGGCTGCAACGCATTCAGGTTGCGTTCAAAAACACCACATTGAGAGTAGAATAGTTTTTAAAGGCATTCTACAATGCATCGCAAACACCTTAGGTCTGTTCGTTTTCGCTGCACCGTTGAACTAGTGCAATAAATTGAAGCGAGACAAATATATGTTTTCTCACTTCAACTTATTGCACTAGTTCAGCGGTGCAGCGAAAACGAACAGACCTCTTGTCGCCAGTTGTGAAAGATTACCACTAGTTACAAAATGTGTTTCCGGTTGCAATAGACAGTCGAGGTTTTTAAAAGAGAATTGTTCAACTCTTAACTCCTTGATGACAGCAGAGCACTGCCTTTGTTTCTGGCAAATGACCTCGTATCGAGAAAGTATCGGAAATAAATTCTGTCATTTTTTAAGCTGGTATTACATACGTCATACGACGAATTTGTCGGATGCGCCGATTCGCGGTCGGATAAATAATTTCTAGACTGTCTAGAGAAAAATTTAGGGACCCTTGAAATTTTCTACCCAACAGCCAATCGGCACATCCGACGATACTCGTCGTGTAATATTAGCCTTACAAAACTGAGCACATTTACTAGAATATTTATAATTTCATTGGTCAACACCTACAGCGGAATCTACAATGAGAATTTAAGCTCTAAACTTAAAAAAATTGACTAATCACAATCAAATGTGAGGAGAATAATCGACTGATTGGTGGATCTCTTAATGCTTAACCTATTGTAGACCGGGACTAATGAATTCGTTCACTTTTGTAATTCTCACTAGTTTTGAGATACATACTTCACTCCTAGAAGCAAGATTTAAATTATCCGATCGATCCAATTGTAATCCTCAATCCGTCTGATACGGACTTTTATAAAATGAAGATTGAAATCGACCATGCCAAGGACTTCATGAAACTGTTTCTTAGAGCGTCATCTGAACAAGTGGGTCTAAAACACTAATTACATCTCTGGCTGATGGTTAGGTCAAACTAAAATGGTTCGAGTTTCGGCTAAGCTAATTGAAAATGACTCGAACTCCGATTAAATAAGAAACCTTGATTGAATTTTAAGAGGCTTGAGCCACGAAAAAAAACAAATCAACTAACAAATGAGATTCGCTAGATGAATAATAATGCATGTGTACGATGTTACACAAGATTATATTTCGTAACTTTCTCCCTCCTCTCTCATTCTGCGGTGTTCTTTCGGCGGGTCGGACCCGTTAAAATGTGACAAAATGTTCGTTCGTCATAATGGTACTTCACCTCTCTTTTTTTATATTTTTTTTTGTTGCCGTTTCATTTACGCTCTTTACAACGATCGATCGGCGTTTGCAATCCTGTCTGCCATCGATTCTGACCAGTCTCTCAGATATACCGATCGAAAGGGCGCGTACACGCATAATAAATGCGGCTTTCGCAGAGCTACACCGCTCGCAATGGTGAACCAAAGGGTTTTCTTTCCTTTCACACACGCAGGTACAAGCAGGCACGCACGCACGCACACGACACACACACACGCACATGTACGACACTTCCTCTCTTTCTGCTATTTCTCATTTTCTCTCGAGAATAATGGAAACAAAGAACTGTTCACAAACAATACGAGTCACCACCTATTCATTATCGCGTTCTGCCCACAGAAAATGCCCGACTCTCTGCCGCCTTCCTCATTTTTTTCTTTCAGACGTCGCTTCTGTATACCAATATATCATCGAATAAAGATTTCTACAAGAAGAAACATCACGCCGAGAGATAAGTTCCATGAAACGTTGAACGTACAAAAGAATACATGTGTGTTACTCGACTGCTAGAAACGAGCGTAAATTAAAGCATCTAGAGCTAGGAAATAAAGTGCTGCCTTTTTATCGGCTAATCGTTAGAGAAAGAAATCACGGAATGCGAGAGAACGCGAATCTCGCTCGTTCCCTCTTACTCTCCAAATCCACGATTCTGAGGTGAATAAGCCAAAATACTACTTTGGAGAAAGAAAAGCAATACATTCGAAGTTCTTGCTCTTTCTGGATCTTGCAGACTATCTCGACACTCCGAACGCGTCACTCTAAACGTCAATACTTCGAACCGTCGACAGGCCCCATTAGCAGTTAATGAGGTAGTAATTATTTTTTTTTTCAAATATCCTATACGATAAGATAAAGGGTTTTTTTTTCCTTTCACACACGCAGGTACATGCGGTGGTATAAGGAAGGACTTCGAATGCACTCGTATTTTAACGCACTCACAATTACACACTCTCTCACGCATTTCATTCGCCACTGTTCCACCCTTTGGTTGCACTATAGGCATATGGAAAAGAAAGAAGTGCACAACGCCGCTTAGTGTAATCGAGAAAACGAAAACAAGATTAATACAATTTTTCCCGGCAATTGCGAACGGGAGTCGCAGCAGCGAACGTTGTGCAAAGTAACAATCCGCAAGCGTGATGTTCATCTCATCAACACTGTTGCGCAAAATATTTTGGAATTTTCCAAGCAAAATCGCGTAAGTCCGAGTCAATAAAATATCGGTGACGATGCAACAGACTTTGTCGAAGTACTTAAAAAGACGATTGAGTCCCATACGCGAGATAAGGCCGAAATATTTCGTGAGTTTCAAAACCGAGCCGTCGTTGAGTCGTGAAAAAAAAATTGCAAAGCATTATTGTTTATTAGTTATTAGTCTAACTTCTCATAATCCGGAGAAAGTCTTGCGAAATTGCTCACACGCGTCCAATACAACGGGCAGTCTCATTATCCTGCACAACATTCGTTCGCTATAAATGTAGGTACGTATTATATGTACGTATATATATATATGTATGTATGTGTATATATATACACGCATATATACATACATATATATATATATATATATATATATATATATATGTATGTATATATGNGTATATAAGTGAAATTATAAACTAACATCTCATCTCGTTTAATGTTGCAATAATCGTTAATAATAATATGAATAATTAAAAATAACTAGTTAACCGATTATATTTACGATAATTATATATAACGACGCGCTCGCAATGTCATTCGAGTTGTTATATATTCTTTTATATATATATACATATATATATGTATACATATATACGTATGTATAATATATCTATATACATATATATATTATTGTTATAATACATGTACATATATATACGTACGTACGTGTATGTGTGTATGCCTGTCTGTTGCGTGTGTGTGTGTGTTGTGTGCGTGTGCTTATATTTGTATAATTACGCTTGTAAAGTATTTACAATTGCAGAAGGGTATGATCATTATTTTGTAGGCACTATGGCTTTGGACGTACACTAAAGTTGTACGTTAGGGTACATCCTTAAGGGACTTCCAGACGAGATAATTTCCCCAGTGTATCCTTGAGCTCTCGAGGAACGAAAGGAGGCAACTTCGCGCGCGAGTCTCATTCGGTGAAACATCTCCGGCGCGGCGCGCGCGACAGAATTCAAGTGTCCACTAGAAAAGAACGTCTCTCTGTGAAAACCCCCCGCGATCAGGTTCAAAGTAGTACTGCGTACCGAATAGATGGATTTTGGATGATGATCGTCTGGACGCCGAGCGCGATTACCGAATGGCGCGTTGCGTCACGACATATAATCCAAAATCGCATTCGTCCGTGTGGTTTCCGCTCCTTGCACATTTTGAGTTCGTCTCCGTGTTCGCGACGTCGAAAGATCGGAAAGGAAGCTAATCTTGCCGTCGAAATTTCAGTTCAGAGAGAACTTTTCTCTCTTTCTCTCTTAAGGCTCGGTTACCCCTCGGACGGTCATATTGTTTTATGACGTCAGAAGCGAGAAATGACATACAGAAAGTTTCTTTCAAGAAACTTATTGCACGTCATTTCCCGCCTATGATGTTACAAAACCAACATGGCTAGCGAAGGGAGTCGAGCCTTAATGACGATTCTCGACTGCCTCGTTCTCGTTTCACGATTAGCGAAAAACAATTTGGTCGTTGTCTGACGCAGTCTCTCCTGTCTTTTACATTCTCTCCTTCTCTCTCTCTCCCTCACATACATACAACCACGCACGCACGCACATACACGCGCACACATATTCTCTCTCTCTCTCTCTCTCTCTCTCATCGTCTCTCTTTCTATGTTCCCGGCGCGAATATACGCTCCTCTATCACTTAGTAGAATTTCTAGTATTAAAGATTGCACGGATAAAGCGCCTTCGCTCCTTCTGTCTCTCTTTCCCTCCGGAGTCTTCGCCACTCATTTTACACAAACGTAATCGACACCGAGACCGTATCAAACCGGAAACACGTGCCAATAATTCCGTGATATGTTTTTCCTGTGCCTCGCGATTCGGTTTATCCATATCTGGAGAGCTTGCGATCCCCGCAACAAGCCGTAATGAAATGATATCGCGAGACATCCCGAGACATATACGCACGTGCAATAAAAGAACGTAAATATAAGAGCGCGTTAAAATACCTCAGCACACAGTTCATTCTCTCTCGTAAACACGAGATCTATAATAATTCGGACCAATCGGTAAAATCATTTACAAACGGAAATAAACTATCTCGCTTATTCATTAGTTTATTTCTATTTACAATCGACCGTAGAAATCGAAAATATACGAAATTTCGTCGCGCATTTCCCTCACTGAGTCACTTCACTTTGTCGTTCTTCCATCAACGTTAACCGTACATAAAACGCGAGAATATAAACCGCTCGGAGAGAAACGGTAAAATAAATAAGAGCGACATCACACATCGCGCGATTCATCGAGGAAAGATCGACGCACGCAACGAAATGATCAACTCTGTTGTCCTATCGTGTGTGACGTGAAGACGCATTAAAAATCTGACGAAACGGCTTCTCCGTCCGTTCGAGCATCAGGGAGGCGAACTCAGAGTGACGGTCCAAAGAGACGAGAATGCTCTCTTACGTTGCTAATGGCGACGACGATGTGATATTCCTAGAGTTTAAAATCGAACAAATCCGCGATACCCTCCTCAATGCCTAATGAAAACGAGTAGTCGTTCTCGGAAAGCGGCGGTTCCAAAGCCAGCAACTGTTCTCCGAAATCGAATAAATCCAGATCTGTAACAAAAGCAAAATCAATAAAGAAGATGAGCCAATATCAAATGCACGATATAAAGTACACACGTTTTCAAGCCCTATTGTTTTATATACATGCTATTATCAAAGTGTGTGATTTTTCAACGTTTAATATGACTTAACATATATTGGATCTTACAATTAATACCTATTATTCAAAGATCGTTAAGAAATATCCATCGATAATGCGGCATTTCCGATATACGTTTATATGAATTTCTTCGAATGCGTCATAAAGCATCTTTTACTTTACTGAGAAAGATGTGAGTCCGCAATATACGTTATAAAGCGTTAGAAAATACGATAAAAGTATAGTTAGTTCTTAGAATTACGCGTTAACAGCAGTTTGTCAGATATGCCTACAAGCGTTCATCGAACAGATTCCGAAGAAGTAACGAATGCAGCAAAATGTTTCCGCGGAGGATCGTTCAGTCATGACTTTACTCGTGAAATTGGATTGCTGCAAAATTCGAGTCGATCGTACCGCTTCTCAAGTCAAACCAAGTTTTTTGTCCTCCAACATATTACGTCAAGTCGAATATAATTGTGAAGAGAGACGATCGCTAAGAAGCGCGTCTTACATTTGCACATTGATCATATACGACAATGTTAACGACCGGTAACATCGCAATCGAATACTAGGGGAGCCAATAATTAGTCTGTGTAAATGAACGTACCTTCGCGCGACACGAGCTTTGCTGTATGAAACCGTTACCTAACTAGAACTCTGCCTGTGATGTGACTTTAATAATATTAACACACAAGTCACAGCCAGAGCTCCATCAGGGTACGGCTATCGTCCATTGGTGAAAAGGCAGAGAAGTATGTTCGAAGGACAGATAAAGCGGATCACCAAGTTACATGAAATCGTGCAACTTTCGCTACCGTTCCTTCGAATGAGATTCGTCCACGAATAATCATTAACTATAGCAGACAATACGTCCTTTTCGAGCATGGAGCAGGAAACAAATTGCAGTAATTGTTGCGAAATCATGATCTCGGTTTTACTGTGAATTTTCAACAAGAGAAGAATGTATCTTTTAGTAACGAAAAGCAGGAAAATTTGAATATACTTTATAAAATAAATAAATACAATAAATGAATAAATAAAAACGAATGGGTATTATTTTGCACGATGAATACAAACTACATTAAGCTTACCAGATGGTGCATGCATAAAATATTCTATGCAAATAAAAAGAAAATGAAGAAAGAACGTAAAATTAATGTGCGGCAAAATACATTTATTAAAATATTAATAGGGGAATTATATATATACATACGTATGTGCCTATACCAGCCGGAATTTTTTAATGATATGTATATTTTTCTCTTGGGAACAAAATACTTATAGAATAAAAAAGATATGACAATCATATTCTCATATAAATTATAAACGCAAATATGAAGGCGGATAATAGCGCAATTCTTTTTCTCACTCACTTTTTCTTCCGAGGAGAAAAGAGGCTTATTTTAAAAATTAATCTTTCAATCTTTGGAATCTCCTTTATGGTAATTTTAAAAATTGTGCTATTTTTAATGGACTGGCTACTAGTGTATCGAGCAGAGAATACATAGAAGGGAGGAAGCAGCGCATAGAATGACTGCTTGGAACAAGAAGCACGTGAGGCAAACCAAGCTAACAACCAATAATGTCGCTTACGATCCTACCTGAAGTGCCGATTTGGTCCTCCGTTTGAAGTTGGAACTTGCCGCCGCCCATTGGTCCATAATCGTCGGATTCGCAGAGGAACGCGTCCTTCATACTCGATAAACTGTTAACTGAAGATATGATGGGGGTGCACAAGCGAGCGTTCAGAGAACTTTCGTCGGAAGGTACTGGCTCGACTCGCACGTCGCCATCTCTATTAATCAACAGTTCAGGGGGCAAAGAAGTGGGTGTGTCGGATTCTTTTGATTGAGGCACCACGGACTGCGTTGTCGCGTATCCGGAATAGGGTGACGTTTTGACTCCGGGGTCGTCAGGACACAGAAACACCTCTATCTCCCCGTGGGACGACCTCATGTGCATCTGAAGCTGGAAGTGTCATTTTGTCATGTTTACAGCGAAACGTAATAGCGTGTGAAATGTATTTCTCGCATTTGCCCGAGAAGCTAGCGAGATAATGGGAACTTCTCAGTAAGAAACACGGTTGATATAACACAGTATACTTGTGAGTGGTTTCCTACAACTGACACAATTCGACACAGACGCAGAGCAGAGTCGAACATTTGTGTCAGTATCGTGGTTGCCAAATTTTTAGTAATTTTTATATAATTTTTATATTCGTAACATTAAAACTACACTGAAGAATTGTTTTCTCCTTTTGTGGCATTTTGATGCTTTAAGAGGATCTTGGATTCGTCTTGTTCTACCACAAATTTTTTAATACTGTACTCGTTACTGGCTGTACAGAATTAAAAATGCTTAAATGTTGGCAACGACAGTTAACTTTATTTAAAAAACAAAAAAAGTTATATGATTTGTTAAAGATGAATATAATTTATTAAACTGTGTGTATTGTAATTATGCAAAAGGATTTTTTAACTCTGTGCAGCCAATAACGAATACTAAAAAGTTTAAAACAAGACGACTATAGGATCCCCTTAAGACTTTCTACATATATTATTATATTAAAATATAAACTCAGAATGCGTTAACATCGTAATAAATAGTAGTAGTTATTCTACAGCGTTCATATTTTGCCAAAAAGTAAATATTTTTAGGTAACAACAATAAATATAAGTTATAATTGACGATGAACCTATCAGCTTTTACGTTTGAGTTAAAAATAGATTTGTGTGTGAATAGCTCCAGAAACGATTAATGACATTTTAAGTTCTATAATTAACTAATATGACGTTATTAATCGCTTCTGAAGTGATCAAAAACGGTTTCATTTAATAACATTACACGTAATATTTACTAACATCTAATATATTATAGCTAACTGGTGACTCTTTCGAAAATTAAGAGGTCTGATTCATCCATCCATCAAGCACCCCCATGTGCGGGGTTCAACTGTGTAACATAGTGTCTATCTGTGTTTCCTTGCTGGAAAGCACCCATGCTCTTTTTCGTGACGTTCGCGCGACGAACGCCACCAGGCACACAACATCCGTGCGAAACAAAAGCTGCGTTCAGAAAACAGGATTGAACAAGCGTTCACTATAATTTGAAACATTCTTTTAGACATTCTTTCAGATCACAGATCAAAAAGAATATCTCAATCAAAGACTACTACCACTCAACGGTTGTATTTCTTGAACACATCCGAAATACTGAAATTCTCATATTTACCTTTTGTTGGCCAAGATTATTCGTGGGTTGCGGAACGTGGAGGGTCGCTTCCGGCGGTGCTTTCACAGCCATAATAGCTTGCTCTTTGTACATTGGGACTGAACGTAAATCGTGATACGTTACATAAGCGTATTTCCTGTCAGTGCAGAGTTCGCGAAGATTCTTATTTGCACCGTGGATTAATCGATCCAAAGTGTTCTCCTTCGCTTCCAGGTCCGCGACCTCCCTCCTGAGATCGGCGATGTCGTTCCGTTCGTTCGGTAACTGACCGCCTCTGCAAGGAACAATTCGCAGCCTTAGCATAAAACCTGTTCCCGATCCGTCGCTCGGTGTGCGCAATATTGGCGGATAACGTACTTCCACTGGATATTGTTTTTACTTTTCTTCTCTAAGATACCGATGCCCTCTAAGACATTAGTAATGTCGTATATACGACGCTTTTGTACCTCCAGCTTCTCAGACGCCACATTCAAGTCCACCACCCCGTCCTGACTGCTCTCGACCAAGTGGATGAACTTCTTCGTGAGCAAGCTCAACGACGTGTCGTACCGTGTCCTCTCTACAGTTTTACCTGCAATACGACGGTTCTCCCTTGCGTGAAACGTGAGAGACAGGATGGGAACGTCATAAAGCAAAAACAAAATTTACTTTTGGTAGGCGTGTGACCGGCCAGAGAATTCGAGCCGGATCTTCTGCGTTTGCCTCTGGGAGCCTTGAACGCTGGCTGGCTGGGACCGGTCGTTGTTACTTCCAGATTCAGTCTTCTTTTTACCGCCTGAATTGATATCTGTCCGGAAGAGAAGCAGAAGACAACTCTCAAGCGATCAATGCATCCATCATGTAGCAATTATCATTGATATCTATCAATCGAAATTGCTGCAGACAACAGCATGAGCTACATGTTTTACCTCAGCTCGCGGAGGTGGTTGCGGGGGTTTCCTGGTCACTTGATAGGAAGGTGTCTGTCCATATTGGTGATCCTGTAAATGAGGACTCGGTGTCTCCTCCACCGACTTCTGGACCTCGTCCAAGGATCCATCGTCCAGGAACTCGGATTTTACTGCGAACGGAAGGTCGTCCGATTAAATGAAAAGTCCGCAAAAGTCACGTGACCCTACCGATACGAAAGTGCACAGACAATATTCCATTGCAGAAGAACTTACACAACTTTGTTTCTGTCATATCCGGCGTAACAGGCCCAGTTGGATCTTCCAGAACCACTTGTCTCCTTACCCGAGGCATCCTGGCAATGTGATTTTGTCTGAAAAACAAAGCAGTACGCGCATATGAAGTCACAGAACCGCCGAGTCTTCGATTTTAGCATCAACTGCATCATAACCAACAAGAGTCGCAAATTATTCGGGATATCATACAATTAGATCGAGAACAGATGTTTGCCGATTTGGGCAACGAGAAAATCTCACGCCGTGGTTCGCGATCAACATAGGGCGGACGTGTCGAGCGAGAGCACGAGGTGGCGGCGGTCGCGTTACCCGCCGCAGTCAACGGGCCGCGTTCTCTCTCTCTCCTTCCAAAGAGTTGCATCGCAGACACGACGTACACAGACCTATTTCTAAGCGCACTTCGCGATTCCGGCTGTCCTAACCGCTGCCAGCCGCGTGCGTCCGTCGGCATCTTGTCGGCGTGTTGCACGTGCAGCGGCGAGTGTCATTTTTAAATGCCCGAGATTCTCACGGCGACGGGCTACCGTCGAGACGCCGTCCCCGAGGGCCGGGCCAGGGTCCGCGTGCAGAGGCGATTTCGCGTGCACGCACAGACGTACGGCACGAGAGCGGAATAGTAAGGGCGTGCGAGAGCGCAACTATGTTGCGCGATATTAGCATCTCTGGTGGCGGCGGCGGAAGGTGGCGATCGGATTGCGCGGCGGCGTCGTGCCGCCTTAGGTCGGACGCGCACGAGAAGCGCGCGAGTCCAATGAAAGTGGCCGAGAAAAGCCGGGGAAAAAACGTAAGGGAACAAAGAGGGAATACACTTCCACTTTGATTTCCCAGGAAGAGAGTGTGACAGAGCGGAACAGGATTTGAGTACGGATAGGTGTAGTAATAAAGGTGTCAATTCGTAATTAGCTCATTTGTAGCGTTGAAAGTTCATTAAAACGCATCTTTTAATGTTTCGTCGTATAGTCTGAATCGACTCTTAAGCGTTATCATGACTTTTGGCAGTGTGGAAAACGCCTTTTATCAAAAATTACATTACACTTTATTCCTTAGAGCTAAAGCTTTACTACACCGTATTGCAGATCCGAACTGATCCAATGAAATTGAAATGTGTGTCGAACTTGAGAAACGGAAAAAACGAACAGTCGCAATCGAAGAGCTGTCGGTTTCTGATTTTCGAAAACCGAAGAACGCATTTCGTCCGGAAACTCCATCAAATGTGTTGCACGTAATTATATCTGAAGTGTATATATTCGGCACGATGAATTGAACAAAAAAGATACCATTCGACAATTGTTCTTCGGTTTCCGAATTCTCGGTTTTCCCAATTGCTCAATTGTCACAGATGTCGCGACTTACATAAAAGTGAAAATTTACACATATACAGGATCACATTCAAATTTGCATCTGCACGTTGACTTATGCAAATTTTACGGACGTGCATGTAATATCGCGAGAACGGAGATTACGAATACGAGTTTTATGATACAAACGGGAACGAAAGGGTGGGGAAAAACGAAAAGACCCAGAACTTCACGCAGTGACACCACGTGTTACCTTTCAGGATTGAGGTCGGCACAAGCCAGGCTGGTTGAGTTTTTGACGTTACAAGCACGCGGAAAAGATACCCTGCATCTTCGCGTTACGTCGAAACAACGTCTATAAGAAAAATGTCTGTGCGACGTAATCGGGAAAATTATACCCGAGTTTCGGGCTCCGGTTAATTTTAGAAGCGTTCGGAACAGCGAGTGACCGAGCTTACAGCTGATCGGCCGGCGTTATCTTTTAAAAGGCGTGCAGACAATATTGTTTCGTTGATAAGCCCGGACCCGGGTTGGCGGCTTAATCAAGATCCGATCGAGACTTTTAATTCTGGCCAACTGTGCAATCAAGCAGCGCTTATCGTTTTCTCTCTCTTTCTCTATCTCTCTCGAACCGGCTCTAGAAATAAGGCTCGCGCAGATTTGCAACAGTAAACACAAACTCGATTTCGCGTCCTCACGGCCATTGGAATGTGACAGTTTCTCGTCTGATGTTAGAGATCATTAGCTGGCCTGTTAAGTGAAACGCGTGCGCGACATTTGCATCGCGTATCAATCGGGAGCGAAAAATACGATGAGTACTCTCTGTCGAAAATCGTGAGTACAGCCACGTCGGTAAAACGCTAAATCGTAACGTTTAGATCTTGCGATACGTTTACCGCGTGCCCGGTAGTTCCCAGTAAAAAGGCGACGAACACGTGCTTACACTGGATACTTTAGCGACAGAAGTCAATACAAGTATCATCCTATCTTCGTTGCTTATCAGACATGGAACAAAAACGGAATGATGCTTGTGTCGACTTGTCCCGAGTCGAAATTTTAATGCTACTCCGACGCTTTCAAGGATACTTTGCGTCTTCTTACTTTTAATTTCTCTCTCGAACCTTTAATTCTATAAATTTTAATGCTACCTTCGACAACTTATTTTGATGCTAAAACGGCGAAAACGGAAATTTAAGATATCATCCGAGTTAAAGTAAGAATTATATTATTAGAATTGAAACTGAACCTATTTTGCCACCTTATCTCTTACTATGTTGCAGGATTAAAGGTTTAACATAGGGTTAACAAAATCTCGACTTGGGGTGTTACTAAATGGAAAGCATCCATTCTCTCTCATCATTTCTCTCTCTCTTTTTCTTTCTTTCTCTCGGCACGGCTATTAGATGATAATTGCTGTGATATACCGATTATTTAATTCACTCAGCAATCATGCGTCAGCAAATACCCTTCCTCCCAGATGTAAACTTCAGATATAATTGTATATATAAACGCTTGTGCACTGAACTAATATCGGACGAAATTCGCAAAGTCCACCGTACGGCCCTTCGCACAACATAACATGCGTCCGCTCTTCCTTTACTCCGCGACAGCGGTTCTCAAGCGTTCGGTTCCCGTGTGGTAGCAGACAAAATCGCGAGATACTCGATATGAAAGCGATCAACGACCGACGAAACTATTAACAATTGCCTGTTATAAGAATTAAGGAGGCGAAAGCGAGATTGGACAGTGACTTTGAAAGATACGATAAACAAATATCGCCGTTATCATTTCAACAGCGACTCACAACGAAAACTGGCCTCTTCTTAGCCGAGTTTCCCGCAGGAAAAAGCGTGTCCTCGCGAAAACCGTTCGCCCGGTTCGGGACTTATTCCAACAGCGGAGGCCCCGACGATTGGCACATTCCTCTGACCTTTTCTTTTGCGTCTATAAAGGGCTGAACTGCGGAGGATCTGCCTCTTTATGCGATCCGTCACGGCGGCTTTCTTCCTTTCTCGGAAGGCAGTTTCTCGCGGCGGGAAATAAGACGGGCAGAGAACCTTGAGAATCACTGGCCCCGAGAAAATATTCCGATCGACCAAAGCCCGGCGGCACGTCTCCAATCGGAGCCGGCGGAGAATAAAATTGATTTTATACCTTAGCGACTCATAGCGATAACTCTCCTCCTTCGGCGAGGTTCTCGCGGCGGAAAACTATTCGTGCTTGGGAATCGCTGCTCCGGAGAAGAGAGTGGCCCAACCGACAAAACCCATCGACACGTCCGATCGGAGGATCGCTAAAGAACAAACAGACACACAAACGAACATGGTGAGAATCGAGCATTCGACCAGGCAAGTTGGAAATTTCGTAACGGCACAAAATATAAGAAGACAGAGGCATCCCGGGGGACCCCCGCGTTGCACCAGCGCTTGGTACACGCCTGATAAGCGGGGACCCACGGTGCGCCCGAGACCCGGGGAATTTTCGAAAAAAAGAGCAAGCGGGACTAGACGGTCGTTCCGGGTGTGGTTTAAAGAGGCGGCAGAGCAGCCGCCTCACAATATCGCGAGTCTCAAGATGCACCATACACAGCTACGTCGTCATCGACGGCTCTCTCTCTTATCCGACTACCTATCGATAGAGAAATTTTTCGCATGCCTGATCGTCGTGCACCAATGAGTCGATTGCGATGTTCCGCCTTTTTAAAAGCCCATCGGCTCGTCACTGGTCGATATAACGTCGAGTAATCTTCTAAATTGGCCGACCTCGACAAATCGGAGGATCCAGCGGGATTTCGACGGATTGGCAACTGATCGAAGTTTCGATCGCTCAGACGCACGTTTCTTCCCGGGCAAGGTGAACGAGTCTCCGGTCGTTATTTACGTTATTCAATATGCGATGGCCTCTCTTCCTCTATCTGCGTCCACCTCTCTCTCTCTCTCTCTCTCTTTTTCTTTCTCTTTCTTCCTTGTCGGAGCTCGATAACAAAGTTGTAATCGTGGGATCAGCCGGCCACGCTTTGGGATTATTCAATGACATTCCACGGAGATGCTTATCTGGTTTCGTTAGCGCGTCCGGACGACCGCGTGCGCACGTCCCGGGGAGGACATTTAAGATCGGTATTGCAGCGGCGGGTACACACGTGTCGGAGAGACGACCGGCTCAGACTTCTCCGGCGCCTTCTGCCGAGTACACACGCAGTCAGCCGCCACCGGGATCTCCCGAGAGACTGCGCCGGCACTAGCCGGCAGCGGCACGCCGGGGCGGTAAACATGTAACTTTCCCCTAGGAGCGAAAAGTGAAGTCTCATGAGAAACTTCACGTTTTCATTCTTGTGAGAAGTTACACTAGTTGCTTTCCAACAAGAGACCTAAGTTCATCTCTAGTTATATATCATCATTTGTCTTTATTTCGTACTTGGTAAAGAAAAGGACAATAGATGATATAACGAGAGACTTATGTCTTCTGCTGGAAGGATCTGTTCTTTTCAGCTGAACTAGCTGCACTAGTTCAAGAAATCTACGTATGCTGAAACGTGAGAGTCTCGTACATACGCTTAATACGTTTCATGTAAATTTCTTGAGCAAATAAAGCTAGTTTAATTATAAAGAACGGATCACATAATTGCTAAGCAATAATCGTATAATTTTCCCCTAGCGCAGAAACGTGAAAAATTGACATTTCTAATTGTTCTCAAATTAGAAAATTTCAACTTTTTACGAGCTCACTTTAAAAGGAAAGATTCAGGGTCCCTCCCCATTCGGCGTAACTTGCGTCAGCCAATCAAATTGTCTCAATCACCCAATTACCAATTATCACGACGGATTTGATTGGCTGACGTAAGTTACGCCGCATGAGGAGGTAACCTCATGGTCGATCTCCAAAGGGAATTATGAGTCTTATCCTCTAACGTCAACTTGTAGAAAATAAAAATTTTTTAATTTGAAAGATTCATTTTTTACGTTTCCGCTCTTGGGGAAAATTACGTGATCACCGCATTTTTTAAAGCGCTTATGCGCTGTAAGCGTCGTTCTATTTTCTTTGGGCATATAAGTGTCGATCCACAATAGGTATTTTAAGCATAAAGAAATTGACCAATCACAGTCGAATATGAAGAGAATAATTAACTGCGATCGGTCAACTTCTCAAGGCTTAAAATATCTATTAAGGGTAGACACTAATGAACATTAAAGTTAGAACGACGCTTACGGCGTGTGAGTGCCGAAGAAAAACACAGCCCTAAGGCCTGTTCTACAATACGCCGTATGATAGAGTCGGATATCAGAACGCAGTCGATGGTCTAATGAGAGAATTTATCTTTCGAAAACGAATTTTCTTCATTGGGCTATCGGCAATGCTTCGACATATTGTAGAACAGAAGTCTAAAATCGTCGAGTTTACGTGAATCTTTCTATTTTCGAAGTTTCCGTTCCTAGGGAAAAGTTACATGATCGCTACCCGGAGAAGCGATTCGCGCTTCGAAGGTTGGGAGCAATGCACGAGCCGCCGCAGAGAGAAAAAGAGAGAGAGAGCGAGAATCATCGATTGGTCGACAGTTATCTGGAAGATAAAGTGCGGTACAGAGGCGGACGAGAGCAGCGCTCGGGCACACGAACATCGATTGGCGGGCGAGTCGCCGTCTGATCGCGCGCTTCGCACGCGGAATCGAAACATGTCCGCTGCTGCTCCAAGGCCAAGCACGGAAACGACACACCTCGTCGTCCCATCGACGAGACTAACTCGCTCGAGTGACTGGTCGGAGATGAAGGAACCACGTTGGCGACCGGTCGCCGGAGACGTAACGCGCACGAGACGGACGAGAACGCGGCTACTTACTCGAGGCTCACGAGCTATCGAGAACCCCACGGTCGGATCCCGATCTCTCTTCACTCCCGGTGTGTCCCAACCAGCTACGACGTGGATACTAACGCCGGGTCCCCAGTGCGCCATGGACAGGCAGGAAACGCCGCCGCCACGACAGCAGCAGTGGCGGCGGCGGCGGCGGCAGCAGGCGTCCATGGAACGTGCGCTGTGCGCAAGGCGGCAAACGAGCGTACGGTGTTCGTCTGTCTTTCTTTCTTTCCCGCTTGCTCGTTCCGCGACTTGCCGATGACAATGTCGCTACTGTAATTACGCTGACGCGCTGACACATATGTCATTACGCGCCGCGTGATATTCGCAGGATGAACACATAGTTTAGCCGGGCACCACGTGCGCGTTCGACACGATACACGTTCGTCGCCGAGAAGTTGAAGAGGAGCACACACCTACGATCGAATGTGGCGCAATAGCGCCCACCTGCCGTCTTTCTCCTCTTGTTTTTCCCCCTTTCGTCCCTGGGCTCACTTGTCGGCTCGCTCGAGGTAGATTCATCGCGCGGACTATTTCCGTTCGACTCCGGTTCATCGAGTCTCCCGAACGATAAAACCGGGCGTAACTGTACACCAAGAGGGGGGGGGGGGAATTCAGAAGTAACTATCGCCACTCTTCGATTTCGCGTTTCTGAGAGCGGTCTTATCGCGAGCCAGCGGAAACCACGCACGGAGCCGGCGTCTCGGTCTGACGTAATACGCGCGCGATCAGCTGTTAACGTCCTCGCCTCACCGCGGAGTCTCGATTCTCTCTTTCTCCCTCTTTCTCTCTATCGCCGAGGGAAAGAGAACGAGGTTCGAGAAGAGCGTTATCGAATAGTCGCGCAGCCAATGGCGCGCGAGGACGAGCGAGAACGGAGACTGCCTATTGGTGGGACCACCGAATACCGTGTTCGTTTCGATTGTCCTCTCCCAACACGCTTTCGAGAATCGAAAGTCCGTCTCGAAAATCCCGCTTTGCACAAGAGCGATGCTCTTCCCTTCTGCTCCGTCACCCTGAAAGTGTAGGAATGCTCTCCCGCGCAGATACCGATCAGGGAGGGCGTTCGTGGAACCTCGAGATATCGTATCGCAGCGAGATGAACAATAACGAAAAGCCGAAGCCACGATCTCGTGCACGCGCGCTCTATCTTCTCTCTCTCTCTCTCTCTCTCTTGCTATCTCGTTGTGTACGGACGCGCGTACGAGAACGGTTATGTGAGCGTTCGTTTACTCACTCACACGTCCAACGCGCACACTCATATGGACGCCCGCTGACTGCGGCGCGCGGTCACATGTGCGCGCGCACACACAGACGCAGTCGCGCGCGCTACGTGCATCCTCGCGCGGCCGAGTCGTTTAAAGAGCCAAGACGACACCGCCGGATCCCTAGTGAGGCGCGCTACCGGCTAACGTTACAAAGAGGAGCGAGAGATGAGCGCTCTCGCGCAGCAACACCGCCCGGAAATGCTCACCCCAGACATTCCCCCGATTTTGACAAACGACCGAAACGTCGGCCCTTTCAGCCAGCGGAGCCGAGGAGGCGGCAAGGTCGAAAAGCGCCGTGTGAGAGAGAGAGAGCAACCGTGCACTGAACCTGTTCGCGCGTGAAACGGCATTTCGTGGTAGCGCGCGCGGGAGCCATCGTCACCGAGAGAACGAGAAGGACGAAAATGTGCACATTGCTCGAGCGAGCGAAGAAGAGAGACGGAAGTAGTAGTGTCGGGCGAAGAGATACGCGCCCGTTTGCACCGTCTTCTGTCTCTTTCTGTCCCTCTTCTATCTCACACGCGCACACACGCACACACGCACACACTCTCTCTCTCTCGCGCTCCCTGGTTTTTTCTACTTACTTGGCTGCTCACGAACGTATGCGCTGCGTCGCGTAGTATTTTGAGACCGGAGGCCCGCGGCTCTCTTCCGGGAGGAGGTTCACGAGGCGAGCCAGCACACGACGCGTGTCACAGGACCTCGGAGCCGGACATCTCGATCTCCGGGTCGGCGAGATGGCACACGAGAGCCGCGACGAGTGACAGAACGACCGGGGCTGGATTTGCCCGGGATGACGACGGTGACTACGAATGTGTATGGTCGGCTCGAAGCGGGAGCGTACGTTCCCGCACCTTTCGTCGTCGTGGACAGCTCTCGTACGACGTGCCCCCTCGTATATTAGCGCGCGCGATCACTCTCTCGCCCTTTCCCTTCGCATACGTACGCTCATTCGCTTGCTCGCTCAACCTCGTCGTCGTAGTAGTCGCGGTTGACGTGGGTCGTTGCGTCGTACTACTATCGTACTCCGCAATTTATATCTCGTTCTCTCTCTATCGTTCACTCTCTCGCTCGCTCGCTCGCTCTCCCTCCCTCTCTCTCTCTCTCTTTTCATATATATCTCTCTCCCTCTTTTTCGCTCAATGCCGTCGGTTTCTTCCTCGAAAATACGCCGTTCTAGAGTACACGGTGTCCATTTTCCGAGAGCGTGGCTGATTAAATCGCTACGGTTATAGAGAGAGTAGGTACGTGCAGGCAGGTTCGACGCAGACAGGTAGATACAGAAGTGGACAGTGCGCGCGAGCGGGCGAGCGAGCAGACGCCTCTCCACAAACGACCGAGGCCCGGAAAAATACGCGGGACCGGGGATCGTACACGCGCCGCCGTTCCCGGCAGCTTTTTTTCACTGTGGGCTCGGGGATGCGGCGTGGCGCGCTCGCCTCGCTCTTCACAGCAGCGAGCCCCGCCTCGGCATGATCGGCTCGGACCAACCGGGCCGGCTTCGTGCAGGAGAAACGAACCTTTTCTCTCTCTCTCTCTCTCTCTCTCTCTCTCTCTCTCCCTCCTTCCCTATCTCTCTCGCTTTCTTTTTCTCCGCGACTCGTGAGGATCGGGACGGTCGGATCCAACGCACGGTCGGCCAACCGCTCTCGTTTGTTCGATCTCGGCTGAATCAGACGGATGGACGAGGTTCCTCCGAGCTCTCCGTGGCGCGCTGGCACGACTGGCCGGCTCGGGTTATGCGAGAAATGGATAGAGTGCCGCGTGCGCGTCGCGTCGCGCGCGCCGGCGATATCCGAGAGAGAGAGAGAGAGAGAGAGAGCGAGCGGAGAGCCGCGTGTCCGTGCGTATTTGCGAACATCGAGGGGGTCTTCTCTCTCTTTCTCGCACGCGGAGGAGGTGTACGGGCTTTCCGCCACCACCAGCTGTGTCAGTGTATACGAGGAGAGAGACCGCAATGTAGTCGCGTCGCATCGCGCCGCGTGTGTACGCCGCCCGCGTAAAGTAAGCGCGGACGAGCGTATGTGCGGTGACGCGCGCGCGAGCGAGCGAGGGATAATACGCGTTCCCGGCGTTATTCCGCGCGTGCGCCGCGCGATACGAACGAGGGCACAGACGGCGCCTCCATTCCGCGTGCGATGTGTGTGTGTGTGTATATGTGATGCACCACGTTCGGATTCTCTCGCCTGCGACTCGCCGATTGCGAGCGGAGAACACGAGTGGTCGTCCCGAGGACGATCTTACCCTTTATCGCAAAACTAATAACTTACGGGACAGCGAGTTGCGCCGGGCGTGGAAGCGAGGAGGAGGCAGGGACGCAGCGTACTGTTGTTTCAACAGTTCTGTTCATTCAGGCGCGTCCCAACGGCGGAAGGCACTGTCATAGGTCGACGACGACCGTGCCGGCGTGTTTCGTAAATACGCGCGCCCACGGTCGGCGGAACTGCCGTCGTCCGTCGGTCGTCGCTGCGGTGATAGTGGTGGTGATGATGTCTGTCTGCCGGCGACGGTGGTCGATCGTGCGTGAGCGTGTCGTCGGCGCGCGCGCGCAACCAGCCGGCGCACCGGCCATCTGCCGGTCGCGCGCCACAGCTGAATACGCGCGCCAAAACCGTCGCCGGCGCGCGCTGCCTGTTCCTCGTGAGCGCCGCCTTGATATCTCGGAGCCTTTATCAGGTCTCTCGTCCCTCTCGCCGGTGAGGCCGATGCGCTCGTACGCGGGTCAGGATGACGACGGTTGCCGCGGTCGGAGACGTCCCGTCGGGGCCCGTTGGCGGTGAAAAACGACGGCAACGGTCTGCCGACGCGTTAGACGCACTCGTGATTTTCGTTAGAAGCGCGTCTCATCGTTTCGAGAGAGAGGTTCATCTTCGGCGAGGTCGTCGACGTAGTTGACTCGCGACGACGCGGTGACGCCGCCTCCTCACAGCTCCATCGAGTTAGCCCGCCAAAAATCGAGGCCGTCCCTCTCACCCGGCCCGATGGCCCGCTGCTCTGCCACGCAGGCGAGATACGCGTCCGAGGAATCCCCGCCGGGTGTTTCCCCGTGTCACCCGAGTCTCCCGCTCACCGAGACGCGCGTCGTCGAATGGGACGCGCGGTTACGCGTTCTCGGCACTCCCGCGTTCCCGTGGCACACCATTACCGTACCGGTCCGCCATGCTCGCTCGCTTTTTCTCTCTCTCTCTCTCTCTCTTTCTCCGTCGCTCTTTCCCGGGGGTGTGTACGAAGCGCTCGTTCCCGAACAAAGTCCGCGCTCTCCTTTTCTTCTCCCTCTGTCTCTAATCTCCTTGGGCCTCCTTGCACGTACTCCTCCTTCGCTACGAGATCGGGTCCCTTTAACCTCCTCCGGAGCTCGCGGTTCCGCCGGCGGGTCAGGTGACGATCACGACGGCGGCAACGACGACGCGGTGGCCGTTACGAATTATGCAATTTAGTGACGTATGAATATCGGCGACAAGAGACAACGACCGCACAAGCGCACGCACGCACGCATCGCACGCTTACGACGAACCTGCCGGACACTGATGCGCTCCTCGCCCGTTCTCCCGTCCGAAACTAAGCGGGCGGTCGCCGCCGCCGCTTCCTTCGCGAATGGGGGGGCATTTGGCGGCAGTGCCGTGAAGACGAAGCGGGGGCCCCTCCCCTCCGGCAACGCCGCGTTGTTCTCGCCGGCCGGCCGTTGTCAGAGAATGCCGGCGAGCAGTAAAATCGATGGGCGAGAGAGAAGCGGGAGGATAAAAATATCGCCGGCAAAAAGTCGTACACTTTTATTATTTCTGAGCAAATCGCCGGGACGGCGCGCACGCCGTCGCTTTTTCTCACACTTGAGCATTTTTATTTTCACAAGTCACGACGTGCCCGATAGGTGTGTGTGCGCGCACATGCGACCTGAATAATACAGGAAAGTGCATGTTGAGTATATCAGCGCTCCGGTGGAAATGCAACAATCGCGCAGATCTCGTGTAACTTATCGCGTCTAAAGAGGTAACGTAAGTTTTCCGCGATATGTAACGTTGCTACGAATTTCGGAGACTTCAAAGAACGCAAATAGAGAGAAAGAGCGCATAAAAGCGTAATCAAAAGCCGGTATTCACAGTCGTTATTACGTTTAAGATCGTGTTAAAAGTTCATCTTGAGGTGTTGTGTCCGACCATTTCATTAGCTACAACGCACTGAAGATGAACTTAAGACGATCGTAAATACAAGACCCGAGTATGAATGCCGGCGAAAGAGCTGTTCGTAGGTCGTGAGCGTAAATCTAATTGAATGCAACGAAACGCCAATTCGGTCGAAGTGCAACTCGTTGGAATGATTTGTAACATCGATGCGTACACGTCAGTCACGAAAAGGTCTTGACACTTCATTTTTGATCAATTTCAGAACGTGTCGCGCGTCCAATAGGAGAATTTGCTTTTTAGTCATTCTCAGGAGACACATTTTCCTAATTGGGCGCGTTGCGAAAACACCTCGAAAAAAAAAAAGTATCGCGACTTCCTTGTGACTGACCGCGTGCCAAACAGCGGCATAACTCATACATATGAATTCATACGATCTGGTTCTACAATAATGACAGTAAAAAGTATTCTAACGAGATATACCGGTGTGCTCCGGCCGCAAACGGACACCTCCCGCGGGTCCTCAACTTGGTGAGCGCGCGCGTTCCAGGTGCCCGTCTTGACACGCGCCTGAGTCAGGTCACCAAGAAGGGGGCCCGGTGCTTTCTTCGTAACGTATTTATTTGAACCCTACTCAACTACAAAAGGATCGTATCCTCTATGTAGGCCGTAGGGGAGGCGCACCCTCCCTTCTTGCCCTCCGGCGGCCCTACTGTTCCCCTACTTCCCTCCAACCCTCCGTAACAGATCAGTCATCCCCACTTGGCCGTTGCGTCCGAAGGCGCGCGCGCGCGCGCGCTGCACGAGGGAATACAGGGAAACGGCGGGTAAGGGCTAATAGGGCTGGGCTGATGTTACGCGTCATATGTCGACGATGACGAACACCTCGGGCCGATCCACCTTTGGACGGTCGTGGATCTGCATCGCGGAATACGTGATGGCCTTCACCTCCGCACCTTGCGTGTGCTTGCCGATCGTGAACTCTTCGCCGAGCGCGGTCGCCTTGATCTTGAAGGCCTGCCCGTCGAATTCCGTAATCTTGACCTTCTGATAACAGAAGCGCGTAAGGGTTTTACCTCCTTCTTCGTTCTCCCCGCTCGGACGAAGGTATGCGAGGTACTCGATCAGGAGGTTTTCGTAGCGAACCACCGATAACAATGATGAGCAAAGATCGAGAGATTAAGCGCCTAATCGCTAAGCTAACCGTTGGATACGCTTGAACCAGAGAGAGTGTAAATAAAAAATCTCTGCTAGCGATGAACGAAGAGTCATCGTTCATTTCAAGATCCTTTTCTTCTCCTGTACTTCAAGACTGTTGATCTTCGCCTAATTAAGAGTCTCGATAATATTGTTATCGAGTTGTCATCGTCTCCTTGTGTCAACAACAACAATGGAAAAGCTGCACGTTTGTAACTCTCAAGGAGAATTTGGGAACAAGAGGCGTCATACCTTGGCGACGATGTACGGCTCGGCGCTGAACATGAAGAGTAGCTCGTCGAGAAAGTGGAAGAGCAGACCCTCGAGATCGTCAGCTTCGGCCTCTATGTGATGAATCTGCTCGATTTCCACCCGGTCCAGGTCTGTCATGTAACCGAACATCGCCATGGCACATTGCTCGAAGGCTTCCTCCATCGTCTCGCCCCATGCGTGCAACCTACGATGCGATAAGATACAGTGAACAAACACGAGCCGATCGTCGCGACGAGGATTCACTAGTATGATCTTCGATACTCTTCCGCGCGCGTTTTCACGCACGTGGGGGGGGGGGGGGGGTACTCGTGCGTTTCTAGGTTAGCCGCTAAGTTAACCTCCAAAGCCGAGTCGGTCGACGCCGGTTACACGATTACGCGAACGCAATGCTTACTGTACGTCCGCGGTGTGGTCGAGATCTGCAACAGAAAATATGAATTTCATCACGGCGTGGCCGAAATGTCCACGGACTCATGGATCGTAATTCGCGCGCGCCGCATCGAATCAACGACGGAGGTTAGGCGCTTCGAACAACTCGCGAGAATGTACGCGGGCTAGTTCCGCGTCCTCGACAAAAGCGAACGGTGATAACGCCGCGGTAGAGAGACGAACGGTCGATACTTACACTCGTACTTAGCCGGCGGTATCGCGAGATCCTCTTCCGTGAGCTCGTCCATGATCGCGCACACAGCTGACTGCGCCCACGTGAGTAAGCGATCAGCTGATTCACTGATGGGTTCAATCAACGGCGATGCTCGTCCGCGTAGGTCAGTTCACGTCGGTCAGGTGACGCTACCTGCAAGGCTGCCTGCCGTCCCGCCGATGTGCCGCTATAAAATTTACTAATAAGAGTATTTAGCTGATGGAAAATTCGACGTCTTATTAATTCGATTTGAAGAAAAAAATATTTTCTTTTGACGCTGGACCGACAGTAGAAAGTTAATGTTTATTGTATACGCGGGACGGTGTGGATCAGTGAATTATTTTAATCTCCAGTGGAACGAAAGAGAAGGTCCTTTGCGCTATGCGCAAACATTTAAAAAGAGATTTAATCGCGAAAAATATTAAAAATCGCGAAAAAAACGGTCGTCTTCTTCGATATTTCTGCTAAGAAGAAATTTCTTCAAATTATCAAGGGAAGTTGTAAAATAATATAAAATAATATATATAAATAACGATGAAAAATAATATAAAATAATGAAGTAGAAGTAGGAGAGATATAATTATATAATTGTGTCATATTTTGTATACTTGCTGCTTCGCAAAAAATAGCACTATAGCTTGATTTTCATATTTGTTTACCATGCAAATAAAAAAGGGAACCAACCTAAAGCCCTTATCAGTCTAAAGCCCGTATCAGACTAGGATTGAAATTTAATTGAAGTTTGGCCAATTAGAGCAAAGCTCATTAAACTAAAGTTTGGAAAACTTTGTTTTGATTGGTCAAATTTCAATTCTATATCAGTCCTAATCGTAATCTGATATGGGCTTTAGATCTTTTGATCTAATCCGGTCAATACTGAGACAAAGTTTATTCGTGTTGCTTGCACTTTTCGCATTTAAAACGAGATGAACGTATATTCGAACTCTAGAGCTACGTTCTCTTTGGGCGTTGATGCGCTGTAAGTTTCATTCCATCTTTATTGTTCACTAAATGCCAAAGGAAGATAGAATGACGCTTACAGCGCGTAAATGCCCAAAAAGAACGCAGTCCAGAAGAAGCAAGAACGAGAAGATCGAATACGAAAAATGCAAGTAACACGAATAAACAAGAGAACATAACAGAGAGTATAAATCCGATTAGTCTAGGGAATTTTTTTAAATTGAATACCACTGTTCGGTTGGAATTCGAACTACTTGTAAACACCCAAAGGTCCATACTCTGAACTCACTTTTATCGATAAAAGTGTCTCTAAAAGTGGTTTCTGAGGCCATCTGATTGTTTGAGAAGCCACATTTAAGGCATCTTTATCGATAAAAATGAGTTAAAAATATAGGCCAAAGTCGTTTCATCATCTTAAGATAGTCTTAGCCGATATGAAGATCAACCTGCCATCTGTCGAGGCTGATGCCAATTACGTGTCCGTTTTCCAAAATAGATAGCGCCCGTACAGGAGGTTCCACTCTATACGATTCTTTTTGCTGTTTCTTTCAGTCCGTGGTGAGCATTTGATTCATATGTTGAATTCGAGATCGCATATTTCGTTACAAGTATTGTTTAACATTGTTAATTTCTCCAAAAAATAACAGGGACACTTTGTAGGATATTGCGTCAGGCTGCCGTGCAATTATTGTCTCCTTGTATTTCACTCAATCTCTAAAGATGCCGGCGGATTGCCCTGACCGTTTTCGTATGGTATCTTGGAATAATTAGGAAAAAAATAAATCATTTATACATTACGATGTTTGAAATGCTAGAAGTGTGCAAGACGCCGATTTCTTTTTCAAATTCAACGATCTCGTGTGGTTTCGAATTGTTTTCATCTTCGTCATAATATCTGTCGCTCATAACCTCAAAGTGTCTCGTCAAATAACCTCTGATAATCACGTGTAAACTATAATTTTTATGAGGTTTCCCTCTTGATATTTCTTATTTTTACGAAATGTTCGCATGTGTTGTTAATCGTGCCATTTTAATTTTGCAATTCTGTTTTGTAGAAATGACTAGCAAAGCGAAAGTGCCCAAGACGAAGGAAGGCGCGCCTGAGAACGCACCTTTGAAAAAAAGGCCGTTCAAACGACATGGACGCTTGTATGCGAAGGCGATCTTCACAGGATACAAGCGTGGGTTGCGCAATCAACACGAGCACACAGCACTGCTGAAAATTGAAGGAGCCAGGACAAAGAACGACTCTAATTTCTATGTAGGGAAGCGGTGTGTATATGTGTACAAGGTAAAGTTCTTTCTGTGCAAATAATATGTGTTTATAAAATATAAGTCATCGGAGGTTTAAAAATATATAATTTTTTATGCTAGACTAATTGAAAAGTTCAGTTCTCTGTCTTTAGTAGTAAACTATTTTTCATGACAGAGACACAAATGTATGTGTGTGGCTCCAGAATATTAGTAAAGAATTATAACACAAAGATGATAATTACTTGGTCGAATAATGTTTCTATATGAATACGATAAAATGAAATTCAAAGAAAACTTTGATGATTGCTGATGATATATGTGATATTTATTCACTTATTCAAATATATTTTTCTTTTACATATTATTTCTAAACATTATTGACAATTAAGATATAAACTGTATCAAACAATTTTCTCAGGCCAAGAACAAGACTCCTGTACCAGAAAAGACGACTAGGAAAACCAAAGTTAGGGCTATTTGGGGAAAAGTCACTCGTCCCCATGGAGCAAGCGGATCGGTACGTGCGAAATTCAAGAGGAATCTTCCAGCCAAGGCTATGGGCCACCGTATTAGGATTGTAAGTTTTATTAAGTAAAATTAACGATATCAATATGCATGTTAATGTATGAATCATTTCATCACTCAAATTTAAATCTCTTAATTGCAGATGCTGTATCCTAGTCGGATCTAAATATTCCTCTTGTATAATATAAGCGAATAAATACCATTTTGGTAAAATCTACGTTATTTCATTTCGTACAAGACCAAGTCACTTCACCTTCGTTAATACTCTGTCACGATGTTGCGGCAAATAAACGTTGGAACGTTGGAACGTTGCGTGTCAATTTTTTGTCAATACACGTTAAGTTAAGAGGAATATTGTGCGATATATGGTTTGTTCGTGTTGTTTGTACTGTTTGCACTCGATCTTCTGCTTCTTCGAAAAAGAATAAATTTCTTGAACTAGTGCAGTCTATTCAGCTAAAAAGAACAGGCCACGATTGTTCTGGTCTTTAAATATGAACATCTAAATTTCCAACATAGAAAAAAAAAAATATATATATATATTCGTTTTTAAAGACCAGACAACAATAATATCCAGGTTTAGGCACATACCCGGGCATTGGTACTTTTACTTTAATTGTAATTAGATCCCTTTTGGGTAGCTTGGTTTCACCTCAGATGGACATCAGAGGTTACTCAGCCCACGCGCCGCGACAAGGCGCTACCCCGTGCGTGGGTATTCCTTCCTTGGCATTCGCAGGAAACGCGTCAGATATGCGCGTGCGCACTGTTATATTTATCCTCGCTCCGTGAAACTAACCTAATCTCAAACGCGAGTCCTGTGTCATTCGCAGCTTCGCGCATTTGAAAAGGCTCCACTGTTAGATTACGGAAAGGTGTCGCCAAGTATGAGTCGCCACCGCGCGCGTCGTGATCTCTCACACTGACACCTCCGGGATCTCCGAAGAAAACGGGACCATCTTCGCGTGCGAGTTTACGAAGTGGATTTGAATAACGCATCAGGAAGTTCGCGGATGGGTGTCGTGTATCGCGGAGAAGAAGCGACGATGCGGTAGACAATCGTTGAAAGGAAAGGATCAACTTTGAGAGCGGGAGAAAACGTTTTTCTCCTGTCGTCGCCTGTCGAGCTACGATGCTGTACTCGTCTTTCTGAAACGAATCTCGCCCGGAGACGGCAAGCGCGAACGATGTTCTGCTGTCTGAGAAACTGTTTCGATGGCCTCGGCTTCGCCGCGGCTCAAGCACCGCAGCGAGAACGAAATCCCATCGCCTTAGACACGTCCCACATGGGTAACTGTCATCTGTAACCGAGTGTCAGACGAGGATCAAAATTAGACTCGACGTTGCGTTAACACGTGTAACAATGTTTAACTTTGCTGATATCGTTGGGTTGGAGGATACGACTGAGTCATGTCACCGAGTCTTAATACTAAGAGAAATATTCGTGTAATCGCTGACATCGCTTACAGATTAGCATAAATTTCTATGTTGAGCTAACCTTGACTCGGATGTATTCGTTTTCATGATGATGGTCAAAAGTGAACGGTTATAGCCGTTTCTGATATAAATGGGCCAGACGCAGTGCTCTGTGTATTTGTATTCTTCAAATGATGTATTATTTATGAATTTATCGTTGAGGTCATCACGATTTTTGCAAAGTTTTCATCAAAACACATATTCCGACATATTCTATAATATGTAACTTTCTTACACACATAATGTATTTTTTTAAACAATTTGCATTGAATATTGGACATTAAGTGTTTTGTCACAAAACAATCTAAAATATGTTTCATTCACACATCAGGATGTCATTGTTATTTAAGCATCTGTTTTTTTAGATTTATACCATGATTTTTATACTTATGATATGACATTTTATCTTCTTAAATTTTACACCACTGAATTCTACATTTAGACAAATGATATAAAAATACTTTTGCTGTAGAATCTAGTAACCTATTCTGATCTGTTTTCTTCTCACAGGAAATGAGGTAGTGATAGTAAAAAATGGTCTAAGAATATGCGGTAGTGGTGGTGCCTTAACAAACGCCCCTCTCGTTCAGAGCAAAAGTTATTTTGAAGTAAAGATTCAACAAGGTGGTATATGGGGTATCGGACTAGCCAGGAGAGCTGCAGACCTTAACGTCGCTGTAGGAGGAAAGGATTCGGAAAGTTGGGTGCTTAATTCGGATGGTATCCTAAGGCACAACGAGCAGGAGTTGCATAAGATACAAAATCCTGTACAGGAAGGGGATATCATTGTGAGAATCGTTGGTGTTTGATTTTAACGGTTTAGAAGAATAAAGACTCAACTATATAGATATTTACTTTTCCAGGGAGTATCTTATGACCATGTAGAATTGAATTTTTACTTGAACGGGGAATCCATGAATGCTCCAGTTATAGGTATAAAGGGGCGGGTTTACCCAGTGTTATATGGTAAGAATTTTTCGTTTAATACTAGAATCGCGGCTGGCTCATTTTCGACCCACTTGTAGATTATTTTTTCCCATTCCTTTGGATTTTAATCGCTGCAAAGTTTTCTTTACCATAAAACAATCAAGCAATAAGTTCAAAAAAGTTCACGAATAATTACAAAAAAAGAAGTGGGTCAGAAGTGACCCATCCATAGTTCTAGGAGGGATTTATTGCGGTTCTAGTGTTAAATGAAAAAGTATAACAAGCATGTATCGTATTACTCTCTCGTGACAATTGCTTTAATCAGTGATATTCTTGCAGTGGACGATGGAGCCATCTTAGACTTAATTTTGGAAAATTTCGTCCATACCCTGCCAATAGGCTTCGAGAAAATAATGCTGGAGCAATCGTTGCTCTAGCAGAACGGAACTAAAACCGCTAATGGACCGTCAAAGCGTTACATTAATACATTCTTCGTCCATTTCGATTTTTAATTGAATATCGGAACCAAGATAACAATAAATCGAGAGAAGAAATCGCGACGGTATTAGTATTAAGAGATAACACACAGTCACAAAGTAACAAAGAAACGTTATAAGTTCGTCATAATAATAATCGCATCGATGACACATGGGTATACTTAAATTGTGGAGGAGTGTGAAATAAACGATTTGCCTAATATGTGAATCTATTTTTCGATCTACTCTCTACAGAGAACACATTCGCGTAATAAGTAGATTTTACATAATTCGCTGAGAATTCTTCGGGTTTATTAAAATTAAAGGGTTTATAACGTATTAATCGCTCGAATGTGTGACTTAAATTCAGCTCTATTGATCTGTCTATTATACAATATAACTATATATACTTTTGTTTGTATAATTGTATAATAATAGGTATGATGTATTCATAAATATGTGTGTACAATTCATGTAATATATAATATATATATATATGTACGTATGTATGCATTGTATACATAATGATTTATTGATCCTTAGACGACTAATGGTATGGTATATACACTGGCTTAAATAAGGTACCGACGGCTTTAGGCCTATTGTTCGCTTCATTAGGCTAGTGTCATGGCATTTCATTAACTATCTCTCTTCATAGTTCCTTTCTCTTACGACAAATATTGTATTAAACGTTAAAGCTAATGTTTCATTCTGCCTAATATACCGGAAAAACCGCGCCTTTTTACATCATCGATCGCATGAACGTTTTAACAATTTCAATTTCGCACGTGTATACGTGAAATAAATAAATAAATTTCTCTTGATATTACCGAACGCACCAAATTTTAACGTATTCTAAGAAAATCACCACAAAAAGACTGTTATCGTAATATAATCTATTCAACAAATTTTGTGCTCACTAATTTTGACTCACTAATTTTGTGCTCACTAATTTTTTTATCTGACATAGCAATCGATCACAGTTAAAACAAGCGCCTTTTATTGCGATAAGACAATGATAGCTAGACGAAATACGTTAAAGTAAGTGTTTTGCGCTTCTATCGACGTAATGAGCTTTTTGTCTGATAATGTTTATCAAAAGTTCTTTCCTTATTCTCTGAATATTTGCTGAAACATATTAATCTTTGGTCCTTAATATTAGCTTTAAACCATTAGTATTAATAATGTGTTACGCACTTACATATTTATACTATATAAATATCATTCCATTGTGAAACAATGTAATTTCAATAATATCATATATAACTTATATATTATTATTTGCCATAATGAAGTTTCTACATGTCGAACGTAACACTGTTAATTTTCAATGGTTAGTGTTTTTTTTTTAAATACATGATTTATGGCACTCTGTATTTCCTCTATGTAAACTTATACATACACATATATATATGTTTTTTTCTGTATTCAACCCTAAAAGATCTTCAAGAGTGTTTTCAAGAGAGCTCTTGCAATTTTTTATACTTCAGTTGTTAGCTATGCATATATATATATATATATATATATAAAACTGTGACAGCTATTTTACATTTATTTTATGACTGGATGATACGAGATATTTATAATGGTAACCCCCATCGAGTCTTATTGCACTTGCAACTTTCGTTGCTTGATGAGTGAGTACTATCTGTAGTAAGATAGTATGACTGACTTTGTAATCTACGGACATTGTCTAATGCATTTTATGCTGCTGTTTAATTTAACTATATAGGCCCGCGATTAAATAACTTACAAATACCAAATTGTCTTAATAAGAAGAACTGTCACATGATACACTTTTACAAATTTAAATATCTGATGATGCTGTGAACATTCTTCTAGAACGAAATTTTATCATAATTAGCGTGAACAGTATTTTGTATTATACATATCAATCTCGAATGTAGTAGGGCCGTTGATTATAATTTCTCGAGCAATATTCAGATCAGGAATGAAAAAGTACTTTCTCCCTGTTCTCGAAAATTTCCATCGGAAATATACGTATACATCAATTTCTATGTGGTTTACTATAAGTATCTTATTACTTAAAAACTATACAAATCGTTTTTGTAAAGCTAACGCGAGCTCGTTTCATGCTGCAAATAATTTGATTAAAAAATATATATGTACTTTCAGATATATACATTTACAAAAGTAAGTCAAAACCTACGCACCTTTTAATTACGACGTGCTACCGATATAAAAAATTGTATAACGCATAAAATATCTACCAAAACCTTGAAATACTAATATAATATCCCTATTTTTCTTGATTTCCTGTCGTAAAAGATGATCTGCGAACTAATTTGAGATCTCTTGCACGTTCTCTTTTTGTTTCTTTCAACCAAAACAATAATTTACTTCTTTTTAATATAAATAGCATATTTGTGCAATAATTAGTGGCGTTTGCTCTCTCTCTCTCTCTCTTCCTCTCCCCTTCTAATTAATATATATTATGTAAATTTCGTAACGCATCAAACATAAGTAAAACTAATCATCAGCCATAATTTTTCACTGTTATCGCATTATTACAAGCAATTCTTTTCCTGATTTGCACTCAATGCTGTTGCAATTTGCATATTTTATGAGTGGTCTTAAAAAGAAGCCTGTGCTTACTTTTTATGTAATAGTAGAATATATTAAAATTTTTTAATCACATGTAGAAATAAATTTTACTTATAATTTTATTAAATTAGATTAACTCAAATATAAAATTTTTTGTCAACGTATATAACAAAACAATAGTTTTAAAGTGAGTACAAACTTCATGAAAATTCTAGAAGATTCATAAATAAACATTTGTAGAATAGGTATAAAATAAGAAATTGACAGTATTTTCAATTTGTCTTCAAAATATTATCTTCCTTATCTTTTTTCCTAAGATTATCACTGTTCTATATGTATATATATATCTCTTTTTTTCTTTTTTATCAATTGAGAAACATGAGTTTATAATTGTATCAACATGTTATAACACTGTTTAAATCCCTGTGTGAATTTCTATATATTGAACAGAAACAGATATATATACATACATATAAGTCATAGAAAAAAAGATATAAAGTAATTCAACAACAAAAATATACGCACAAATTAATTGGAGGAAAATCATTATTTGGCGCATATGGCAATTATTCAATTTGTGGATAAATATTGATATGTATGAAAAGAAATTAGTAATTTTATAATTACTCGTATGATTAGAAGCAAAGATATGTTACTTATATATGGAAGAACCTTCATAGAGTTTGCGAACGTTTCATATGAATTATAGAAAATTTCTGTGATTATTACGTAACAATTTTTACACGCTTTTAGTTTACTGACAGAGTACCTAGGAATCACACCAAGGTTCTCGGAGCTCTCTTTGGTCTTGTCCAAGTACGCCAGTTTGCACGACAGCTTGCACACGTATTTTACAATAAAATGAAAGTAGGAGCGCGTCTCAAATGGTCACGATTGCGAGTTATTGCTCACACGAGTTTGCGCGGTGATTGGTTAGTGACAAACCGTAGTACAAACGAGTATACATTTCTGCTTTTGGTAAATTTCACGGAGACAGCTACGCATCGATTACAGCAAAGCATCTTGTTGTCTCGAGGGTATTTTTCCCAAAATGCTCAGATCCAGAGTGACGCTGTTCACGCGGTTGACGACTGCGAAGTGTCGATAAGGTTTATGTCGGTGTAATGTACTCATACCTCATTCGTTATCCGTAGTGTCTTCGATGACAGAATCCCAATTAAATTCCGTGGCACTTTGCCTCGACGGTAATTCACCAAGGTGTTGGAATCGTTGTACGAAATAGGGATCACGATCTCTAAGCCGTTTGAACCTTTGAAAGGCGAGATTCTTTGCGAACTCGTAGAGTTCCAGGTCCAGGTTGTTGAGTCTACGCACGGCGTCCAATTGATCCGCCCTGAGAGTTGCCATAGTAGCTGCACTGAGAGTAGCATTGTGCTGCTCGAAGGCAACCGCGAAACGCATTCCAAACGTTTCCTCAAAGGAATACTGCCCCACCTGCGTGACATAATATTTCGTCATATACGAATGTGAAGTAAAAAATATATTGGGTCAGTTTGAAAATTCGACTCGATTTTCAATGGTTTTTCGATAGTGGACCGCCGGTCACTTTCTATACCGACTTTCTATTCACTTTCTATTCACAATAGAAGTGTACAAATGCTGCAGAATTATAAATAGTAACAGCAATTATTTGATGTAATCCCATATTGGACGCAATCAAGTCAAATTTTACTTAAAAGTTATGCTGAACTTTTTCAATTGATCCAGTAATTCTTAATTTTGCAATATTTTCTATACTTTACAACAATGTAGTTAATTATTACAATCTCATCGTGAATAAAAATGTAAATATATGCAGTTCATATTACATCATATTTTTTTTCGTAGAAATAGTTACCGTAATAACATCAATAATGATTTTGGTATAGATTCTCGTGCAATTGATCGTGATAATTCTAGATGTCAAATATCTCCATTTGGTTAGAGAGATCAAGGATAACGACTTCAGCTCGTTGATAGTAACAAAAAATAATGCGTAGCATTCAAGCTAAAGTGACGCTATAAAAAAGTTATGACGTATATTACTAAAGAATTTACTACTAAAACCATACTTCTAGAATTGTGTAGAATATTTGGCATCATTTTACTCAAATATGTTATTCGAGCGCATAAAACTTAATTCAATATATAAAGTATATAAAATATAATGAAATTACAAAAGCGGATACATATTTCTTAGTATTTTTCTAATTGTATATCGAATATATATGGTGCAACTGTGATAAAACTGTAACAAATTAAGGATGGTAATGAGAAATTTACGAAAGAAATCTACCGTTCCCACATGTTGGGAGGGAAGTTCTCATAAATATTTACGTTAAGACATCTATTCTTAAACAGCCAAGCCACGGACGTGATGTATAAGAATAACAACTTCGTACAACATAGAATATTTGTAAAAGAAACTGCAACACTGCTAAATTTATACTTATTCTCTGTATTATTTTGTATATATACACAATAGTAATTTTATAAAAATAATTTATATTTGATTAATCATATTGTAATCACTTTTTGGCCAATAAAAAAACTTAGATATCATGTGTGTGTATGTGTATAGTATATATATTCTCTGTGAGAACACAAGATTTAAAATTACGATACATTTTAATAAGTGTAATAAATAATATAAAGTAATAAATAATAATAAAAATAATAACTGGAGCAAGGAGGAAGGAACAATAATAATAAAAAGAAAATATATTTAAATGTACTACATACCTTCTGGTATTCAGTCAGCATGAAGAAAGGCATGAACTGCAAATTGTGCTTAGCACTGGCCAACATTAGACGATCTCTGTCAGTACCGCTGAGAGTGGAGTTGTAACAGCCAACTATTGATAGATCCGCTAGCATTCTGGTTTGACGATTATTCGCCAAATTGTAAGAACACGCCATAAACTGCAAGTATACAATTTCACGTTAAATCGAGTGTGAAATTACATTTTTGATCAACGATGATACTTTTATATTTGATTTTTATGAATACCTTGAAAAAAAATACGATTTCTTTTGTTCGCCTTGATAACAGCACAACGCACTTATTATAAAAGAAGACATGGTCAATTTATATGGTAGAAAATGATTACACATCAAGTGTGAAACTTTTAGATACGAGAAAACTCTTATCTCGATATCTTTCTCGCATTAAATCGAGTGTGTATCAAATTTTTAATGTACATTAATATTTCTATATTTGATTTTATCGTTACTTTGAGCAAAATCCGGTCTTTTTCATCCGCCCTAGATGAAAGTTTTCATCCACCCTGGATAACAAGTCAATACAGTGCATTTATTATAGAAGAGGGCATAGTAATGTTATCTGACGGGAAATAGCTGCGCGTGAAATAAGGAAGAATGGTCTTAGATAAGAGGCAAACCTTATCTCATGTTATTTCTATACGTAAAATTGCATGTCGATAATTCATATTCATAATAGAAGACAGTATCAAAAACAAATAAAGCGATAGATTAAGCGACCAACACAGCGAGCGAAAACATTTCACGCGTAGTTCCGAATAAACTATTACCTATTAACCTGTAATTACCTGTTCTAAGGTGACACCTTGCCAGCTGGGTCCGGTGTAACACTGGGGTATGTTCGTTTGAGTACCTCCGCACCAGTGACGAGCGCCTCTCCATGTAGCACCTCTTTGCACATGTCTGAATTCGGAGAGATACCTCGCGACAGGATCCCTTATGATAGTTATGTAAAAGTAACGGCGCTTGATGCCTTCACCTTCGATTTTGTTAAGTTCTGTATCTACACAACTCGTTAATTCAGTCCAGTCCGCGTGCAGACCGCACTTCCAGCCGGTGGAGTATCGTGAGAACAGCCAATTTTCGTTACGGTTTGGACGGAAACAGAAGCAACGCTTGCGTCGTCGTTGACACGAGCACGGTCTTTGCAAATCTAGATCTCGCACCAGATGTTTCCCAAACAATGTGCCACCTTGAAAGAAAGCGAACATTCCGTTAGCGGATACTTTACAACGGACATTTACGGATGTGTTTCGAAATGGATTAGCCTACCACCAGTGGGAGAGATGAAGTCGGCAAGTAGTGACAATTACTGGTGCTACGTTTCATATCTCCCGGTAAATTAGCTGTTGATATGTGGAAATTGATTGCAGAGAATGATTACTGTGTTCAATATGATCGAATCAAGCGAATATAAAGAGAGACGATTGGAACTGGTTATTGAAATGATCGAGAGAAATAAAGCGCGAATAAAGAGACAAACATGATTTTAAGTAGAATGAAATCGAACTGTACACTAGTATTTTGATAAATAAGCCGAATTAGGCCGGTAACTTTAAAATATCTTTTAAGCTATTTTTTTACATGCTTGAATACAAAAAAAAGCAGTAATTCATGTGCTCGTATTAAGAGAAAAATATGTTTTATTTTATTTATTCAGTCATTATGAAGATTATTTATTGTCCAAGACAATAATAATAAGTATACAGCCCCTGACACCAACAACTGATTTATTGGTGGAAGATACGAAACGCAGCACCAGTAATTTTACATACTACTAACTTCACCTCTTTTACTAGTGTTAGTTGAATCTATTTACAAACATACCCTATATCGTTTGCTAGTATTTAGACGAGTAAAAAGGGATTTCTTTGTGTTTCTGTGTCTTTGTGTGTTTTGTGTCATGTATTTCGCACGTATTCACCAACATAACTCTGCAATTTAACAATTATATATTATTATATATATAGTAACATGTGTGTCGTCCGGACTTTTGCTGATTTGTCTTCTTAAATTAAAGCGTATAGCAAATGTATTATAATAAGCTTCAGTTTTACAAAGGAAAATTTATGAATGCAAAGAGAAAGAAGACAAAGAGAGGATGCAAAACACATAGCATACTAAACAACTTCGCATCCCTGAATTATTCTCTTTCTCTCTTTCTTTCTAAGACAAGGTCTGGATGTTTGAGAATGCGTGATGAATAATGCAATAATTCAAGTGCACAATGGCCAGAAAGGAAATGACATTTCTTTATTGTTTTATTTTTATTTAAGCACCCGCTGTATTTTGGTGCAAAGTGATATATGTGTCTGAACAAGCATTTCGCTTCTCACAAATCATAAATTTACTTTGGCATACAACATTCTCATTTAAAATATACATTTCTCCAAGAAGTCACTGCATATGGAACTGTTTTGCAAAACTTTATATTAAAGTGTTACATAACACTTAACAACAACGTGTACAGTTCTGGCTTCACAAAGTATTCTCATATATAAGTGTTGTATTAAAAAAGAAAATAAATGAATAAATTTAACACACTGGTGAAATATAGCATCGCATTGAAATCTGAGTGAAAGAATAATTTGTAAACTGCTCTTAACACACAAAAAAACTGAGACACGAACCAGAGGACAATTTACAGAATGCCAAGTCACTGTATTCCAGATTCTGCACAAAGGTAACGAATGAAAAAAAATTAGCACAGGATGGTTCATTCGCGGAGTACCAGTGACTGATCCAAAGTCTCGGGCATCGATTAACAATCCGGATCACCTTCGCAAGATCTTGGCTCACGTTAAATATGGAATGACACAGGTGCTCCAGCGGAGCAAGGTACTCACCAGTCTTCTGTATATGTAGGAACACCATGACGTCGTGAGCATTGATATCAAACTGGAAGGTGTCGTTGGCGAAAACATCGTCGTAGCCCAGACTGCCCTGGACGCTCTGGAGTTTGAAAGCGGGATGAACAGACAGCAGGCCATTCCTGTCGAGCTCGATGGAGACGGAAGACAGGCCGGAGCCAGCAGGGCCGACAGGAGCCAGCAGACCCTCGGATAGCCTGACGGACTCTTTGATCTCGCGGTTGGTCAGGGCACACACGTGATCCGGGCAGAAGTAGCCCAAGTAGATGATTCCGCTGAGCGCCAGCAGCAGGCATACCCCGACGACGCTACGCAAGCGGGTCCTGCGCGGCCGCGACTCCATCGTCGCCCACCTCCTCCCGTCGCATAAGTCCTCCGGCACGAGCAGAGCGAGTTCGCTAGCGTCTGCCGTCGATCCGTCGGCACCCGCTACTCGTCTGCCCTTCGGCATCGCGCCCCATTCTCGCACGTTCACAGCTTCTGCGGCACCAGTGGACGACGTGAACTCGCCGCGCACCGTTCGTCCGATACGACGAACCGATCGTAACTACGCTCGCGTCGAGCGTCGGCCATGACAGCTGCTCAGCTCCCCGCCGCTCTCCACTTCGCCGCTTCGTGCTTCGACTCCCTGCCACTAGTCTGGAGATATATAGGCGCTCGGGTAATGTCGTCGTCGTACGGTTAGATAGTGTTGGTTGGCGCGCGTTGAGGTAAGAAACGCGCGCTCAGTGATCCTCATCGTCTTTGGAAGCATCGCCTTCTTTCTATACTTACAGCGTCTACACAGAAAAGAGAATAGGGTAATTTGATACTTCGGATCTTTTAAATATTCCTGGATGTGCTATTAACGGAAAGAAACAGGCCATTGGGAGTCCGAATTCAGGGGCGTCCATGCGTAAGAAAGAATACAATAGTCTGTGCGTAGGCGATGTAATGTTTAATATGTCGTCTATGTGTAGATAATAAATAATCTCTCAGATAGAACGGAAAATGAAGATGACGTGAGAATGACGTCAAAATGATAAAAAAAGATCGAAAAACGAGTTTTATTTCCTTGTCGTCTTGACGTCATTGTTATTTTTTCTTCTACCTACGGGCTACGAACCGTTATGGAATGGCTCGTCTTCTTCTTACACTTTGTAAGTCTTATTTCTATATTTTGCTTTTTGTCAAAAACTCACTGGTAGATTCGAATGAAAACATTTATATTGTACTACATTCACAACATGTATGATCAGCGACGAAAAGATTGAACACGTTTTTCTCTCAACGAGTTTCGCAACGCATCTCGTATCCAATAGCAAAACGCATCTCCTGTGAATGACTAAGAAACAAATTTTCCTATTGGACACGGGATACGTTCTAAAACTTGAAATAAAAATAGATGTTGCAATCATTTTGTCGTTGATATAAATACATCTTTTATATCATTATATACTTAAATTCACGTGAAGTGGATTATACGTATTAACGTAACTATTATGTACTATTATGTACATATTTCTATATTATTATATGTGCCATATTGCAGTAACGTTATTGAATAAAAAATTATAACATCGACGTAAAGTTATTGTTACATTTAAAATTATATAGCTGCAATTAAACGTGGCTGGGAAGTTACAAAATAAGGGGGCTGGTCCGAGTCACGGTGGGGACGGTACACTCTTGATTACTCGCGCCGAATCTTAAATTAAAATCCAATTCAAAGTGTTCGAATTCAAAAACTTGAAACGAACATCAACGACGAATCAACGACAGGCTACCGTAATATAAATCACTCATTGGTTTCTCAACGGAAAAAAATTATAGGCGATACGCTCGGTGTCTGTTTCGGCAATCGGCGCAGTTCGCGCGAACCGCCATAGTTCGCGACATGCAAGTGCAAACGGCTGCATATGTTTCTCGTTAAAAAGCATATTTTCCTGCAGCGTCGGTTGCGAACGAATACGCGAGGTACGGACCGGGAATGCAAAACGAGCGCGAAACACAGCTATAGAAGCAAATAGAAGCAAAAGCAGCTGGGAGGAATTCACTCTGCGAAATTCAATAACCAAGGTACCCGATACTCTCGAAAAAGGCGGTTACTTCTTAACCTCCAATTTTTCCTCCTCTCCTAACGTACGAACGTTCCTCGACGTTACAGTTTACAACTATGCATACGGAACGAAGGGCGTGATTCGCTAAAAGATATAACATATTTGGAGTCGATTCTTATTCATTTCTCGAGTCTTCGTGAATACCTAAAGCAGATGAATAAGAATTCGACAGCTTTGAAACTCCATGAGAAAATGGGTCACTTTTAATTTCCAGGGAACCGACAGGAAGTCTTGTATCATACGGATATATCACGGTTGCGGATGGTATGAGAAAAAACGAGAAGCAGTCATGTAAGTACCCACATCTATATGTATATATATATATATATATATATATATATATATATATATATATACACACGTACACACAGAGACTGTCAAGAATGAGTACAATAAAATTCTCAACGGCATGTGTAGAAAAATTATAAGTAAATTGAGCTCAGAAATTGTTGTTAAAATTGAATCCACTACGTGTGGCGCATACTGCAGGTTTCAAGTTTATCTGAAGATACGAATGCATCTCTCAACGAGATAGTGCGCTTCTCTTTAACGGTAATCAAAGATCATACTAAACGCAAATAGTTTTATTGAGCGTCCTTGCGTGATAACTGATAATAATGTATCTGATAACTCGCGTGTTATTTAACACTCGGCTTCATATGCAGCGCAGTGATTCTCAGTCAGTGCTCTCAGTAAGTTCTCAGTAAGTGATTTAAAAATACACGAACAGAGGGGAAGGGAGAAAGAGAGAAGGAGCGATTTTACATGTATGTCACGTAAGAAAGTAATAATGAGAGAAAAAACGATCGCATTTGTTCTATACAGTTGTACTCTATAAATTTACCGCTCTATCCTGACTCGAGAGGGAGCCACTTGTTACCTGCTTGCCACTTTTCCCTCGAGTCACAAAGTAACCTAACCTCGGAAGTGTTGCGAACATTTCTGTCAAATTTCTCCGCGAGCAAGTTTACGTGGATTTTTAATCGGAAGTAAGTATCTCATCTACTAGCATTATAGCGCATGCTGCGCAGATTGCGATTATACAGATTTGTTTTTGCGTTTTAGTTTTTAAAATGTCATCCGTCAAGTTGTTAGAAGACAGAATTGCTAATTTGGAGAAGCAAGTGTATGGGCCAAGCAGGACAATTAATGTTGATGATCCTGCACCACCGAATGCTGTCATCGATCGTCTGCTGGATGTCAACTCATTGATCTCCTCGGCATTGTCCGGTAGAGAGAAGCCAAATGCGATCATCAAGCGGTTGCCAGAGTTGAATGGCTACTTGGATCCTGTTTCTGAGGATATTGAAATGCCCACAAGTGCGAAAGTCCAGCTATTGTTGACAATGGAGTCAGAGATCATGGAGAATCACAAACTATTAACTAAAATGCAAGAACTTGTGCCTGTGTTAGAGTCCGAACGTATCAAAGATGTTCCCGAATTTAACAGTGTATTTAATAAATTGTCACTGTCATATCTCAAGGCTTACGAAGATTCTGAAGAGCTAAGCGCTCACGTGCACGATCTTTTATCCAAATATAATTCAGTCATAAGTAGCATATCAGAATCTTTAATTACTTTGGATGCTGCGATTACTGCCGCGGAAATAGCAGCTATGCCAAAGAAACAAATGGAAGATTGAGAAGATGATTATTGCATTCTGTCCATTTATGTCTATCGGTGTTAATTTATTTTTTTAATGTGTTTAAATAGCGCAAAATCAATTTTATCAGTTATATTTTAAATTATTTATTGTAGTGAAATGTTTTAGAAACGCTTTGGTTTAAATTAGAATGGAAATGTATCACGGATTTGTTTAAAATACATTTATTTGCCATCCTTACTCTTGAAATATAAAAATATGCATTCATCAATGACTATGCATATATAAACATATTTTTATCTTGTTGTATCTCTATAACAATGCATTTTATTAAAATACTCATATTATATACATTTATCCTATCTACTGCTTATGCTATCCATTGTTCATTTCAGGAATCCTCGTTTAGGATCTCTGAGACAAACTGTCGATTCTCGTATAATCGGACATGTATATGTATTGGTCTCTCATCTTAAATTATTACCTTTTAATTGATGTATAATGTAGAGCACGTTGTGAATGTCCGAGATATCACAATTTGTCCTCAATTTGATTTGGCAACGATGAATTTTTTTATAACAATAGGTATAGGAATTTTGTTTACGTACAAAAAATGTGCAAAGAGACCCATTTCACTAATAAACTCTTATATACCACATTATCGATAATAAACAGTTTACTTTATACAGTATTTACATAATGATTACTTAATTATAAATCGGTTTGTAATTTCATCGTCTTTGATTTTCTCTACACATGCCGTTCGTAATATTCACAATTCTTGATTTTTACGAAATTTCAATGTTCAACTTCCATTTTGTCATATATAATAACGGCACTGATGATCGAGAATTATTAGAAGATATCTTTTGCGATAATAATAGGAACATTTAAATTGGGAAACATGAAGGAAGAATATCTAAATTTGAAATAATTGTGCGTGTGTGTATACATGCGGGTGTGTATAATTTTCGTATAATTTTACGAAGAAAGTTAGGAGATCCCAGACCAAATCCTTGTGACAAATCTTTCATTACTTTTTCTTGTTTGTAAAAATGACAACTCTCTAGTCATACGATATGGTAAGGCAAGTAAAAGCTGCTGTTGTTGCGTTAATCGATAAAAATCAATAAAAATATTTGAAACTATCTCAACAATACCTTAACATAATTATTGAACGTTTCGCTCTTAATTGCTTTACCATATCGTGTGATTGAATGTCAGAGGGTCTTTTCATACATGCTACTCTTATTTAACACTTAACCGACGGACACGTAAACTCATGTTTTACTCACGTGTACTTTTCCCCTTTTAGATATATTTCGAATATTACAGAAGAATATAAAACATCTGTTGAATCTTACAAAATATGTGAATTGTAAATCGACATTCTATAAAATATATATAAGACATGCATTTATAAGAGAGGTCTATCTGAGCGTGCACCTCTACACTCTGGGGAAAATATAGTAACATATATAATAACTATATCAGTTTTGTATGTAAAAATTAAGGTGTGTAATTGAATAAATTATCTTATAGTTAGCACAAGTAAGTCTGAATGGTTAACTATAATAATCGAGAACTATAGTTTTTACTATGCTGTATGCCATTCAGATTTAATTGTAATAACTATAAAAGTTCATTAAACTATATGCATTAATTCTACACGCAAAACTTGTATAGTTGTCATCTCTATAATTGCAAGAACTATATATTTTGTTCAGTAAATGTTTCAGTTTGTACGCGTTTTCAGCTATCTGCCGCAGGCCAAGGCAACAATGTTTTGGTCTCCCGTCGGTTAAGTGTCAATGTTTCGTGAACTTCGGAAAAAAATTGGTAAAATAACGATTTAGCTTTGCGTTCGCAAAGCTGGCACTGATTCGCGTAGCCACGAAAGCGCTGGTTCCAAGCTCGAGTAGATTGCTGGATGACCTCTTGAGCATCTGCTGTGGTGGCTTAGCAAACCTTGAATTTCCCATCGTTCTGACGCATTCTGCGACTCACTGGCGCACATTAGAGGCGCTCCTTCATCGTTCTAAAAATATATATTTATGATATTCTATTGGCATGAATTATTTATTGTTTTGAATGAATATAAATTATGGATTATTGAGAATTAAGGCTCCTGGTCCCGCGCTGCAATTGTCCTTATTTAATGGCGTCAGAAGCGAGAAAATACATACGAAGAATTCTTGTGTCAAATAAACACGAAGTTGCAGCGGAGGAATTTTAATAGAATACTTCGGATATTCTCTCTGAATAAAGATTACGAAAATAACGATTGCTTTTCGCGACACGTCGCACTTACATAACAAGGGCCTTTATCCGTATCGGTGAATCCAGCGCATATGTCGTGTTCCGTGATGAATCCTGCATAATGACTCGTGGCGTTGCATTTCTCAGGATCATATGTCGGAATAGGCAAGAATTTGAGATACTGTTGCAGATCTATTTCGCCGTTCATAGGGAATCCCCATCCCGCGGTTACGCAAATCTGCCTCGGCTGAAATGAAAGAAAAGAAACGAAGAGAATTAAACTTCAGAAATTCGGATGTGCTGATTAACTAAAAATTAGCTCGATTTCACAAGGGAAACCTACCTGGATGGGCTGTCTGGGCAGGCAAACGGCGCTGACGTTCCTAGAGAATACCAACGGTTCCTCTAATTCGATCAAGGCGATATCGTTGTTGTACAGGAATTGATTGTACTTGACTTGCGGATAGGGCACGATATTTTTCACGTGATACACCTTCAGCATATTTCCACCGGCGAACAGTTCCCATCCGCTTCTCTCCTTGTATCTGCGAAGTTACGTAGAATTTTACGTTACATATTAACGCTAAAACAGTCGCGCGTTCACCGTTTCTTCTTTTACGCGAAATGATTCAGGACAGATGCCACACGTGGTATCTTATAAATGAGACTTTTCACGAATATAAATTTTCATTCTTACACGAAGAAAATATTATAGCAAAAATTACCACGAAATTTTCTAATGCTGGACCATATCGGAATTATAATTGAAATTATAATTTGCGTTGAAATCTTTAGTGACATATTTCATTGTACACATCACTAAAGATTACAACACACATAATTTCAATCATAATTGTGGTAGTTCAGCATTACAAAATTTTTACTAATATTTTCTCCATATATAAATAAAAGTTCGACAGATAAAGAGAAAGAGTATGAGAGAGAGAGAGAGAGAGAGAGAGAGAAAGAGAGGGCCCTGGTCTGAGGTCTATGAGATTCTTTTTTTTTTCCGGAATCTTTTGGAGATCTTTTTTCTCTTTCTTGGAATCTTTCAGTCACCTGTAAATGCAAGAATAGCTGGCTAAAGCGTGCATAGGACCAAGTATGCTGGCTGTACAAGCGGCACCGTGTTTGAGCTCCTTCAACAAAGCCACGCTGGACCATTGTCCATCGCTGGCTGGTGTCCCGCCGGCCAGTCTCGCGGTTGGACCTTCCGCATAATGCAGGCCGCAGGAGAACTCCTGACATGAAATCCGCACGACTTTGTCTGACACGCAAAACTCCACTCGTTCTAAATTCGTAACGAGCGGCCTGCGGGGGTGTGGGTTCGTCTTCAGTCTTAAGATCTTCTGGCTGTTATCCCACGCGGACAATTCGGTCGTTTCGGCGCCGGCGAATCCCAAAGCTTGACAGTAGGAATCGCTGAATTCCTCGCTCCATCCGTCTGAACAGACTAGTCGATCTTCGCCGTCGTATTGTCTGTACACAATACATATACATACATACATAATACGTAAATACGCATTTTAGACATTTCATAGATCATATTAATATTATACATATTCATACATGCAAATACGTAAGCGTATTTACCTTATCTTCAACAGTGACGCACCGTCGATTAATACATCCACTTTATCGCCTCCAGCATCGGTGTCAGAGTCGGTTAGGTTCATCTCGGCGGTGATATTGGCGATGAGACAGCCCCACTCGTCCGAGTGATCCGGACAGTTCTCGATGCCGTCGCATACTTGAGTCAGAGGAACGCATCCACCGGTGTGGCACTTGAACTGATCCAAGGCACAATCGCACAGCTTCTCGTCCTCCCCGTTGATGCACTCTGCCACTCCGTTGCAGTGCCACGTCTGCGGGATGCACCACTTCTCCGTCGGGCAGAGATACTCGTTATTACCGCAGCTCACGGCGCAATTGTATTCGTCCTGGTGGCCTTCGCAGTCGGGTCGACCGTCGCATTGCCACAGCGCCGGAATGCATCTCCCTGAAAATTTCACAGTAAAATTTCACGCTGAAAGTCTTTCCGCTAATATTTCAACCTATTCTGTGAGCAACGAATGCGGGACTGGCATATTTTGGGATCAAATTAATGGTAAAATTAATTTTAAGTAATTAATTTAAGTTAAAGGATATTAAAATGCTCATTTAAAATTAAGTGAAATCAAAAGTTACTCATTTGTTAACTTTTCCACTTAATTTTTAACCGATCAACAATGTTATTACTCATTTATCGAGCCTGATTATCAGCTGATCGCCGGGAATCCGGTGGATTTTCCATTTTCGCCCCCGAAACTACACTCGCTTACCGCTGGGACAGGTGAACTCGTCGTGCTGGCACTTCCACTGGTCGCAGCCGCGCTCGTCGCTGCCGTCGTCGCAGTCCAGGATCTTGTTGCACACAAGATACCGCCTCAGGCATTGCCCGCTGGCGCACTGGAAGTTGCCCGGACAGCCGTCCTCCTGGCAGTTCAGCTCGTCCGAGCCGTCGGAGCAGTCGGTCTCGGAGTCGCATTTCGCGGACAATGCGACGCAGTACGCGCCGTCTCGCGACGTGCCGTTTACGCATTGGAATTGGCCGGTGGTGCACTTGGAGTAGAGCGTACCGGACAGCGAGGCAGGTGGGGAAGTGTCGCTGCTCGCGTCCCCCGGCGGCGCGGTTCGCACGAACGACGGGTCTTTCGCAACGCGATCCACTTCCGTCGCCCCGATTGCATCGTTCGGCGACGGTCGATCCGGGGAGAAGGCGACAGGTCGCCCGGCGGTTTCGTTCACTTTCGCGTCGGCGGCTCGGAGGAGGTCGGTTTCTGGGTCGTCGGCCGTCGCGCGACGACCTTCGGCCGCCGTCCCGCTTTGCGCAACTGCGCTCTCCGTTCCGAAGGTGGCCATCGCCGCTCGATGATACGTGTAATTATTCCGCATTACCATGTAGGGTTCCGTGACCGGCACCGGCTCTATTATGTCCTCCGATACGGGTATGAAGCTGGGGTAATTCTTGGGCTTCATTTCCGCGAGTGGTTTCTTGCTCCCGACGTGGCCGACCTCGTAGACCGCCTCCGGGCCCCTTGACTTCGATATCGGTAAGATGTTGCCCTCTTTGTCGGCTAAGATGTACCTGGGCACGCTTGGGTCCAAGTCGGAGCTGACTGCGCTGTCGCTCAGCTCCTCGTAAGCACCGATCGTCACTTTCGGCGGCTCCGTCTGCGAGAAAGTCGTCGGCTCGGGGTTCTCCGTCAACACGTTTTCCTCCTCGTGCTCCTCCAAGCTCAGGTCCTTCTCCTTCTTGTACTTGTAGAAGCCCTTCTTGTCGACCGGTTTCTTCTTGCTCTCGTGGCTCCGATCCAACGGTATCACCCTGAGACCCTCGTCCGCCAGATCGTCCGAGACGTCCGCGACCGGCCTCGGTGTCGTCAGGGAGAACAGCGTTCTGTAATCGAACTCGATCATGGGCTGCGTGTCGTCCAGCAACACCTCCGTCACCGGTCTCACATCCTCCGTGGTGGTGACATCGTTGGACATCGATGTGGTCTTCTCGACGCCGCTCGTCGCACTCTTTTCCGTGGACATCGCGAGAGTGGTCTCCATCGAATTCTCTGTCGTCATCTTGCTCCGCTCGTTGGCGTCCTCGTTTAGTTCCACCTTCCGGCCGCTCTCCGCGCTCACGTTGTTCTCGTACACCCTGGTAGCCGCCATGGTCCTTTCCGACGAAGTGTTCATGTCAACGTTGTGAGTCACGGCGTTCTCCTTCTCGTCAGTCTCGCGTCCCATCTCCGTCTGCACCTTCGACTCCATCTCGTCAGCCTTCGCGTCCTTCCCTTCGCTCGGCTTCGCCGTTGACGTAGTCGTCAACACGTCGCTCTCCGTCGTTTGCAGCTCTTCCGGCAAGATCGGGACCTGGGCTGTGGTCTTGGTCTCTACTGTTGGCTGAGTTGTAACCTGCACAACGTCTTTTTCATCGGTTTGAGAAGCCTTCGGCGTTTCCGTGTTACTTTCCTCCGGCTTGTCTACGTTGATGACAACAGTGGTCTCAGCCTTGTCGGTTGCCATCGTCGTCGATATATCTTGCTGGATCTCCATCGGCAGCACGGGTTCCTGCGTGGTCAGTCGGGCGTCTTCCGCTGGCCTTTCCGAGACGCTTTCCGTCGTGGTCGTCGGACCTTGCGTCGTGCCAGGAGACGCTTCCTCGTCCGTCTGGTTTCTCTTCCTCGCGGTGTCGTCGAAGGCGGTCACTTTGTCGGGCATTTCCAGCCGATCGATGTCATTGTTCAAGACAACTTTCTTGGATTGCTCCACGATCTTCACATTCTTCTTAGCGCTGTCGCCGTCGTGTCGGTATTCCTTCGACAAAGTCTCGTCCGTGATGTCATTGTACTGATCCTCCACGGCGTTCTCCTCCGGTTTCTCCGAGCTAGTCATGCCACTTTCCGCGGAACCCGCTTCCTTCGTTTCGGCAGCCGGAGTAACCTCAGCGGATTCGTCCGCCAATTCGTCCTTCTTGCCCTGAGGAAGCTCGTCCGCCACCTTATTCTCCGTAGACAGGGGTATCACTTTCAGCGCCTCGTTATTCTCCACGGACGAACTGCCGGCGTCGTCCGACTTCTCGGAGCTCTCGTTTCGCTGCAGAACTTCTCGGATCTTGGACTCCGTGTCGTTGACGACCGTCCGCTCGCCGGCGTCCAAGTCGTTCTTGATGGTATCGTTAGCGCTGTTATGCGGCTCAGCAGCGTCGTTCGTCTTCGGGCTCTCGTCGGTCTTCTCCTCGTCGCTGGCCGAATGCGAGCCGACGTCGTTCAACAAGTCTTTGGTCTCGGTTTCGTTCGCTTCTGCAATGTCCACGTTATCGTGCTGCGCCAATGGTCGATGCGTGATCACGTCGGCGACGTGAGTCTCGAAAGGATTGGGAGCGTTCTGTTCGTCCTTGTCTAACCGTGGCGCCTTCTTTGCGCTCTCCTTCTCCCTGTGAACGTCCGGCAGGAACGGCGACATGTCTTCGACGTGTCGATCGTCAGCCGCGTCGGGCTTCCCGGCGAAGTGGTCCACCGAGTTCTCCGGGAACACCGCCGGATGGAGAGGGTGGCTCGTCGAATGCTCCTGAGAGTCCTCCGGGCGGATCGTGTTTTCACCGTTACCCGTGTAAACGATGTTTTCGTCGGTGCGTGCTGTGGACGGCTCGATCGAACTCGTGTCTAAACTCTCATTGGCCTTCTTCTCCGTGTCGACCGACGCATTCGCGTCTCGCACGCTTTGCTCGGGAATGAGTTGTGGGATTATAGCGTGGGAAACGGTCGTGGGCTGCTCGGGCTGCTGTGGTATCATCATTATGTGTTCCTCGTCCGCCGATTTTGCGACAGGCTCCACCAGCGGCTCCACGTTGTGCGCGAAGTTTTTCGGCACCTTGGGGAATACCGTCGTCGGCATGTGCTCGATGACGTTCTTTTCGTTCGAATCTTGCGTGTCGGACTCGGGCTGCGACGCGGATTGGAACACGTGTTCCGGCGGGATCGACGTGCCGACGGGAGTAGTTTCCGGTGTCGCAGTCGTTTCGTACACCTTTGGACTGCCGAATGTTACCGGGCTATTGTTACCTATGCCGTTGATTTCTATCGTGTGGAAATATCTGTCACCGAGTGTCGATTTAACGACCGATTCCGTCTTATCTTCTATTGGCATCGAAGTGGTCGAACTGATCTGCTCAGAAACGTGCGAGGTAGTGCTCGATTGATGTTCGGTCATTAAGTTGTACTCAGTGGTCGAGGATCTTTCGTTCTGAACGTTATTTATACTCGTATCAAGATTCGTTTCCGTACTGGAGATTAATTCTTTATCCTCTTGAAGGCCAGGTTTCTGTGTGGATTGTTCCGCGTACACGCCCGATTGTTCGTCAGACCTGGTTGACGTAAGATTTCCGTCGCTATCCCGTTTCTGACCTTCGTAACTTAAGGTGGTGAAACCCGTTTCAGTAGTTGTAATTTCATCGTTCTTATTGGTATAATATTCCACCGTCGTCCATTCCGTTTTAGTTTCAACATTATCGTTCGTCGACTCGTTCTTGGATGTTAAAGGTATTACTTGTAACGGCGTGTCATCTATTTGATTGTTATCAGGTGTGACGGTCGAGTCGTTCGCGTCATCCAAGATTGGTATTTGTGTAGGCTGTTCGGTATAGGTATTCGGTATATCGTGAGACATAGACTTAACAGTAGAATCTGGCTGATTGGATATTCCGGCGTCTGATTCCGAATGCGACTGCATCGTCGTCATACGAAGCGATTCCGTTGTCGTCTTAATATCGTTGTCCACAGTGTCGGCTTCGTTTGAGGTTGCTGCCGGTTCTGTGACAGGCAACGGTTCCACGGTGGGTTGTTTGTCAGTGGTAGATTCCATTTCATCAATTGATCCAATTTCTGGAGCAGTTTCTGGCTTTGCAGTGGCTTCCGATTCGGGAACCACGGTGGACTCTGGCTCACTAGTGGGTTCTGGCTCGATAGTAGGCTCGGATTCCGTAACAAGCTCCGATGCGGAAGTTGCTTTTGGCTCGACGGTAGGCTCTGGTTTAATAGCGGGTTCCGGCTCAGTGGTAGATTCTGGTTCAGTAGTGGATTCCGGCTTTGCAACGGGTTCAACAGAAGATTCTGATTCAGCAGAGGACTCTGGTTCAGCGGAAGGCTCTGTGGCAGGTTCTGGTTCAGCAGAGGGCTCTGGTTCAGCGGAAGGCTCTGTGGCAGGTTCTGGCTCAGCAGAGGGCTCTGGTTCTGCGGAGGGCTCTGGTTCAGCAGAGGGCTCTGTGGCAGGTTCTGGTTCAGCAGAGGGCTCTGGTTCAGCGGAGGGCTCTGGTTCTGCGGAAGGCTCTGGTTCTGCGGAGGGCTCTGGTTCTGCGGAGGGCTCTGGTTCTGCGGAGGGCTCTGGTTCTGCAGAGGGTTCTGGTTCTGCAGAGGGTTCTGGTTCAGCGGAGGGCTTTGGCTCAGCAGAGGGTTCTGGTTCAGCTGAAGGCTCTGATTCTGTGGCAGGTTTTGGTTCAGTGGAGGGTTCTGGCTCAGCAGAAGGCTCTGTGGCAGGTTCTGGTTCGGCAGAGGGCTCTGGCTCAACAGAAGGCTCTGGTTCAGCAGAGGGCTCTGGCTCAGCAGAAGGCTCTGGTTCAGCGGAAGGCTCTGTAGTAGGTTCTGGTTCAACTGCAGGTACGGTAAACGACTGTATCGTTGGCTCTGCAGTAGACGATACTTCAACGGCAGGCGTCGCATTGGAGCTTGTTTCCATCGAATGATGCATATGTTCGTGATGCCAGTGGGGATCATCGTCCTTGAGAACGTGTTTGATCGTTGTTGCGGGCTCCGATGTAGACGCGTCTATCTCAGTTAATCTTGTCTTGAAGTCCGTGTTCTCCCAATTATCGGGATACCTCGGTCCAAGTTGTTCCGTGGTGGGGCCTCTGCTTCTACCCTGGACGAAATCATTCGTTGATTCCGTGCTTGGTGGTGGCATCACTTCATCCATCTCGACGTTACTCAGATCGTTATCGTCCACGCAAGTCTTGCCGTCCTGACTTAATATCTTGCCGGGGCCGCAGATGCATGCGAATGCACCGGCGGTGTAGTCGAATTTGCAGCTTTCAGCGCACTCGCTGCTGCCGCTTTCGCATTGATCAAGAAGTTTTTTCACCTGAAGCCTGCTTAAGTGAAACTGTCCGATCATGTTGCCATTCTCCCGCAATGCTTCTTCGATACTCTGTTGGGCCTCTCGAGGAGTGGCTAAAGGCGGGTAACTTATTCGGAACTTCACTTCGCCATCCTCGTTAATGTCGTACACTTTGACCACGGACGCACTTTTCGCCGGATGCAGCATGCCCTTCAGATGCTGCTCTATCTCGTCGCTCACTTGTCTGTACACTCGCGACTTGCTATCGTTTAACTCCTCGTTCCAGTGGAAATTATCGATGTGCAGAATTCCATCCAAAGCGTTCGGTACAGTTGGATACTCCGTTTCGATGGTCGTCGGCCACGGCGAGAAGCTCGAAGTCGAAGGCGGCGGACTCGTCGGCGGATTCTTCACGAATTCTTGCCTCCCCGCGGTCTTCACATCGTTAAACTGATGAGCATCACTTTCTTGCGTTACGGTCTCCAAGGGTTCCGTAGCCTCTTGCGTTAGAATTACGCCAGCTAAAACGAAGACCACTCGTAGAGCTTGAAGGCAGTTTTCCACGATAGATTTTAATAGTTAGATGAAAAGCACCAAAACCGACATAACATATTTTATTTTCGGGCTCGAAAGTCCTGTGTTGAAGATGTAAAATTAAAATTTATGCACACGGATGCAAACCGGCAACATTTTTCCACGAAAATATATGATTGTTTTATAAAGATTATTACGTGTTTCCTTACAAATGACTATTTTTTAAGATATTTGAGGATTGACGCCACTGTAGTGGTTATTTATAGTGGTTATTTAGTAACGAGACAATATATAGTCTAAAAAAAAATTAAGTTACTGGGAAAAATATAAATAAATATACTTACAAAATTTCAAATCGATCGGAATAGTTTCTTCAAAAAAAAAATCCCGAGAAACCTATTTTTCAGACTTATGACCAGAGAATCCCCCTTAATTTTTACAAGAAAGAAACTCAATAAAAACTTCAGCACAACGAACCGATTTTAATGACATAAGAACGCGAACTTGTGCAAACAGAAACTGCCACTTCAGCTCCCACACGCAGAAGACGAAGTTCACGCATTGTACTATTTAACAGAGTTCTGTATTTTATAGTCGAGAAACATAAGTATGTTGATTTACCATATTTATGTCAGTTTCTGTGCTTTCCCTCTACTTATCGCGCTTCTCGATGCTAGTCGTCTTTCCGAGTAAAGAGTAAAATTTGTAGAGGATATCTCACTTGCGGCCAAAATGGCGATGATCACGGCGATCAGCAGGACCAACAGTCCGCATCCCCAGGCCATTCTTCTCCAGTACGAGTTCCGGGATCTTTTGTCCTTGGTGACGTAAAGCTTCTCGCCCCTGCAACACAATTTCGATCACCACATTAGGGATGCGCCGAGCCGTTGGCGCGTGCTCCAACGTCTCCCTCGTCCTAAACCCAAGAAGCATATTTTGTACAGCGTTGCGCGTGTAAACGGCCTGTTTCCTAGCGACCTCCGTCGGTGACCAGCCAACGGGATTAGAAGCTTCCCTGGCACCCCGGTGTCTAAACCACCTTTCCAACGAGCGCCTCTGATTCCTTGAGTCGTGTGCTGTGTAACGCGTAGCCTATTCGCGCGCTTCCTCGCTCAAAAGCGTTTCTTTCTCTCTTGGGACGCGACGATAAGAAGACGACGACGACGACGACGCGGATTCGATTTTCGGCCCGAACGCGCGATCACTACTCGCGATCGACCCTCCCAAACGGCCGGCGATCCGTCTGCGCTCGCTAGCTATCGTGTCGAAACTGTCCCGTCCGGAAGCTGGACTTGGCACCCGAGCCGTTTCGGTTCAACAAAGCGTCTCCTTGGGACAGTCTTTGACGGAGGGACGTGTCATCCGAGCTTGGGCGGAGAGGAGCGGTAGCGTAAGCGTGTTAGTGCTTGACCTTGTAAGACACCTAAGTATACTCCACAGACAGTTCCCAACGGATTTTTTTTTCCGCATCCTCGAAAGCATCCTTCAAGTACCTGAGGGCTGTCAGCCAGTGGGAATAGTCGACCAGTCCGGCGGCAGGGTCTCTCAGGCTGAGTCCCTCGCGGCCGACGCCGGGGCCCAAATCAAAACGCACTCCAGCCACGGTCGTTTCAACCTCGGCCTCGGGTCCCCTGCTAGGTATCGTGACAACAGAAAACACCGTCGTCTAACTCTTTCTCTCTCCTCTCTCTCTCTCTCTCTCTCTCTATCGACGTGGGCAAAACGGGGGCTTTTTTGGACAGCAACGGCTGAGCTCTGTGCTGTGCTTGCGCTGTGCTGCGCTGTGCTATTTGCTGCGGCTAAAAACTGCGCTGGAGGCATCTCTGTCGCGCCTCTGACAATTGCCGGGGCACGGAACACGCGCGCGTGCGTGAAAATATGCCTTCTCAGTATCTCCAGCCTAATCTACCTCCTATGTATCTGGAATACTACAGCTCCGTTGTCTGGACACATTTGACGCTTGTCGTGCGGTTAAGCTATCGGCTACCGGATATCGGGACGAGACTTGCTACTTCGCGTCGCGCTCGTAGAGTCTATTGTTAGTCGACAGGGTTGTCTTCAATAGAACTAAAGCACTAAAACCGACATACCATTTTGTTCCTGGGCTTCAGAGGCTTATTGAAGATGTAAAATAAAAATTTGTCCATGGACGCAAACCAACGACATTTTTCTACCAAAATATATGACAGTTTTGTGAGAATTATTATATATCTCCTTGCAAATAACTTTTCTAAGAAGTTTCAACTACATTCTGTGAAATTACATTTCACGACAAAATTCAAATATGTTGGTTGAGAGACCAGCAAACTCATGTATGTCGGTTTACAGAACAACCCTAATCCTAACTTTTCTTGCGTGGCTCAGTGACAAACGAGAGAAATTGATACAAGAAATTGATCAAAGTGATTTAAAAAGTTCAAAACTCACACTATAAAATGGCACTGTCAAATTACCGTTGATTTGTTATTTTAATTTCCACAAGGATATTTCCATAACTCAACAAGAGCTTCGGCGTAACGAGAAATCAAACGACGCTAATAATACAACCGGGCATGATTGCAAACAGAAACTGCCGCTTCGACTGCTCTAACAGTGGGCAGTAGTATACCAGTGAATAAAGTTCATGCTCTCAGTTCATATTCAATACTCTCTGACGGAGTTTAATACTTTCCAGCTGAGAAACATGGGTATGTCGGTTTACCATACCCAATGTCAGTTTTTGGTGTTTCCCCTTTATATTCCCAGTTCGCACGGCGAGGTCTCGACGTTACGTTCTTACTTGTTTACGAGAGCGGTTCTCACGATCGGAGATATATTTCGTAACACGGCGAATCTCGTCTAGAATCAATCGCGACGATGCTCGTTAATTCGCATAATGTACACGCGTAGGACCGTGAGTCGCGCGTTGTTCCTGTTTCCCTCACCCTTTCCCTCGCGTCGTTACCGTGTCTTCTGTTTCGGAGATTCCGATAAGAGGATTCACGCACGCCGGGCTGGTGGAACGGTACACACACGTAAAACGGTTAATGAGAGTTAAGAGACAGAGCCAGTAGGAAAAAAGAAGTGCGTAAGCGCAGAGACTCGTTCGCGTTCGACGAACGACTCGTTACCTGATATACTTTCGGTGCTCGTTAACCGGCACGAAGTACTCCTCGTAAGGATCAGCTGGTACCTCGCAGGCTTCCTGACCTTTCGTCTGGATATTGCTGCCTGTGTACGGCCTCATCGAGACCAGTTCCAGGTTTACGGCCTCGATCTGCTCCTTCTTCCCGGACTCTACGGGAAAACGGGAAACTGTTTAGCGCCGAGCGCGTATCCGTGCGTAAGGTGCAACCGGTTTTCCGGTCGTACACGAAACCAGCGCGGAGAAACCGCATTCCGCGAAATAGTAATGAGGCTAAAATAGGGCCGAGCTTCCTGCTTTTAGCAGGGGATTGTGTGAAGAACGACACGCGATTGCGCGAGATATCAGGATCGCGCGTTAATGGGCGAACAAACGGATAACGAATAATCGATGAGTGGAACAGAGAGAGAGAGAGAGAGAGAGAGAGAGAAAGAATACGTGGTAACTCGTGAAAGATCTAAGGCCTTTTCGCTGGACTAGTGTTGCACTGGAGAACTTTGTTCCTTTTCCCTTCCCCGCTAGGTTGCATACTTGTTTCACTCTAAAGGCAAAAGTGCAATCCAGTTCGGCTAAAACGAACTTTCAGACACGAGCGCGCCTATGATTACGAACAAGGACCCGTCGCTGTTCCTCGGTATTAATATCGAACATATACTCGTGGGAGATTGAGTGTCGTGACGGAAAGACGATCGTGTCGACGGTGTGACATCAGATACGATGGAGGTCGTGAAGCGTGTCAACGGATTCACCGTGTAAAGTACCGCGGGCGATACTTCCTGAGGTTTCACCGGTCAGGAACGACTTTTTCTCGACAAACCGGTAGTAAGACGATGGTAATTAACGATCGAAAGTACTGCCCGCTCGAGTCATATCCTATGCGGGGGATAGAGACGAAAGCAGCCGGCGAGCTCGCCGACAAGACAGTTCCTCGCGGTATCTCTTTCCTTGTCTAACCAAGCTGCGACATCAGCAGCTGCACAATTGATCTTACCGTCCCTCAACGGACGGGTCTGGTTATTTTCAAGCCTCTCTATACGTCCCTGACGTCCCGTGATATTTCAAGTTCGCAGATAGGGGAGACCGGGACTATAGAAATCGCATTAGTTAGTTGTCACGAAGATTATATCTCGCTTAATAAATAAAGGAACGTATCCTTCTCTATAATGTAGGTTGCAGGTTAGTTGGGTGTATGAAATGGCTCATGACTAACGTTATTGTATATGTGGTATTTATAATAACAATAATTTATTGGATGTAAAGAATAGTACAAATTGCTTGTAATCAAAATTGCTTTATCAAACTGAAGATTCTTGGGAATATTTCAACAGATAGTGTCAGTACCGTTTACTTAATTTTATCATTAACTCGCGAGCTCAATATCTCACAGCGTTCCTTTATTGTTTATCCAAAATTTATTTTCGAAATGGGAATTTTTTTCTTTTGATGAACCGGCCGATATGCATCTTATTCATGCAGAAGTCAATTGTAAATATATGGCCTCTTCGAACTGCTGTAATTCACCCTGATGAAAGAACGGTTCATTCGGGTTTGTTGGTAAAAATTACTTGTTTTGGTGTCCTTCATAAGCATCCAAAGTTCGTCGACCTAATTTCACCTTATACAAGACTAATATTTTTTTTTCTAAACGCTGTAAAGACGTAATCACATTGAAATATATAGTTGATATTATGAAATATTGCACGCATCTTGTTTTTATTCAGTTTATAATCAGTTCTTTTTAATCGGTAAATAGAGAGTGTGACAATAAGTTCCCGGTCTCCCCTACTCTCGCTCGCGCCTACGTCTTCCCGTCTCTCGGCGCCGATGCCGCGCGTATGTTTGAACTCACCGTTGACCTGCACGCTCGTGGCGCTGTTGTTGAGGAAGCTGGCATCGTTGTTGTTGCCATTGCCATGGACGCCGTTGAGCTTCGGCTCGGGCGAGCTCTTCTCCGTGTTATCAGCTGGCACCTCGATTCTTGTTTCCGTCTTGTAACACGGCTCTGAGCTCGGCTTGACCGGCTCCACGTAGTGCTGGGAGACATAGGATCGTTGATGGCCGTTCTCCGTCGGCGCATTCTCCGTTGAGGTCTTGCGCTCCTGGTCCAAGGTTACTTGCTGTTGGCCGCCGTTCTCCAGCTTAGTACCGCAGTCGTTCTCGCCGGCGAACGCCGGGTTGTCCGCGCCAGCGGCACCCGACATCTCTCGTTCGCGTCGCCCAAAGCTACTGAGCCCTCACCTGCTGATAACGCCCGCCCGGTATCGTCTGTCATGCGTCTCGCTTCTGTAACCAAATTGCCAGGATCATGTGGCGCGATAGCAGATTTCGCGCCGGCGTTTTTGCATGTTCGTACGTTACTCTCGGCGCGAAAGAGTGCGTATCCCATCGGCTAAAATATTCATACGTTCGCGTGACCACGGCTTACTTGGGGAATTTCCCTCGCAGACCACGTTGTATTTAATTTTATGTAACTGTGTGAAAGGGACTTGGTTTGTGTATAGAGATTTTTGTGGATATAGAAAGGGAAATTATCGCTGTCACGCGTATGTGACGTTGGTAACGAACGCTTTAACCCGTAAGTGGGCGCGTAGGAGTGAATTTGATTTTGATTTTAATTTATTTATGTTTTATGTATCAATAATCGCTGAATTTAAGAGTAAGTGGTAGAAGGAAAGTCAGCGTCATAGACCGAAACGAAATGGAGAAATATTCATTTATTCATGTATTTGGACCGGTTTGACCTCCACGCGCCCACTTACAGGTTAAGTAAGATTGAAGTTTTGGAATACGGATCAGCTTGAAATTCATGTTGTCACTGAAATTAGCTGTATACTCAGTTACTGAAAGACTTGGGTACGCGAGTAGTCGAAATTGATAGAACTAAGGTAAACGTCTCCGTAATCGAACGCGTCCCAATGATTGAAACATTATACTATATATGTGATATATATTATAATGTTATTAAGATGCTTATCAAGAAATGAAACAAAATCACAAACTAACAAAACATTTCTTTTCACTTATTATATCGTCCCGTGTATTGAAAAGCGTCCTAATAAAGAAAAATATATCGATAATATTTTAATCATTGGGACCTGTATGTTCAATCACCGGGACGTTTATCTTAATTGAAATGAAAGGTGGTGCGTCACGCATGTGTGTGACGCGGCTCGCGAGCGTATTAATACAACCGCGTTTAAATTGAAAGTAGCTTGTTACATCCCACGTTATAATTTTAGTAGCTTTACTTAATATAATAACAATAATAGTAATAATAATATGATAATATTGACCGACCATTACAGAATAGATTCCTGCTAATGCTTACATTGAGAGAAAATTATAGTTATTTTTCGCACCAACAATAACCTTTTGTTATTTTAACTGCAATAATAGTCAGGAGAACTATGTTTTTAGTCAATGTTATTATGGTGTCAGTGATAATAACTTTACATGCTACTACCATTTTTGTGGTTAAAATAACAACAGGATGTTGCTGGCACTGAAAATAGCTGTAATTTTCTCTGAGTGTACCACATTTCGGCGTTGTGAATGTTTGTGAAATATTCGTGTTTGCACTTACGCACACATAAAATGTATTAAATAAGCAACCTGAGTATTTTATGTGTACACATGCGTGATATTGGTAGCGAAGGTATCGAGGAATGATCTGTTGATGAAACGACGAGGCATCGTTTCGTCTTGCCTGAATGTTAACGGGACACAACAATCGCGGCTCTTCAGCGCGGCTTGAGCTTACAAGTCGTTAAAAATCACCCTAGTCGGCGTTCGTTGGAACGAAGGAGTATGGTAAACTCTTGCGTGGCTGTTTTACTAATTACACACCTCGGTATTTGTCCTAAATCACAGTATAGAAAGTTACTTTGACTCTCAATTCGAAGCTGACCTCGCCTATTCAAAAGGTTCCGTGCGCTCCCCGTTGAGGCCGCGGATATTATTCGAGCCACGAAATGAGCCGAGTAAACTCGTTTAAACAGTTTTACTCGCATCTATCGTAGGACTCCGGCTATCGAGCATCGCGAAACGACGCTTCGGCCGTTAAACGTGGATCATCCACGGCCAATGACGTCAGCGGAGAGGCAGACTTGGATCTTTTCGCACGACGGTCTACGAGGAAGACGTGAGAACCATGAGAGAGAGAGAGAGAGAAACGTCCTGCGCATCCTACCGACATCCTTGCGGAACGATTTATCGAACCTGTTTGCCGAATGCAAAAATCAATTTTCCTCTTAACGGTGACTCCATCGGCGCACGAGGCTGGTTCGGAAGAGAAGAAAACAAAATAAAGCGAAAAGGAGGAGGATGTTTGCGGTCCGATCGGATTGTTCGTCTGAGACGTCAAGAGTGAGTCAGCAGCGAGCCGAATTAGAGGCTTGAATCGCGACGAATAGCATTTCGTGAGAAATATCATCTCCTCGCGCTTCGCCGACTATTCACTACACGTTTGTCCTTCCTTTCCTCCCAATACCCGGTCCGCGAGTTTCCTGCGAACCTCCCACCATCCTCGCACGCGGCGGCAGTCCATCTGGCTTATTTTTTTCGACTTTGAGCGCGGCGTCGAGCCAATAAACTTGGGATCCGACGCGAGGCGAAAGGAACAACGGGTTTGAACCCTTTCTAACCGCCGCGGGCCCGGCGATGTGGAAAACGCGCGCCTCTCGAGGCGTCTACCCGCTTCGGAACCGAAATTCATCTCCTCGAACGTTCAGGAAAGGAATGAACGCGCGCGCCTTGATGAGCTTTTAACCATACCAACCGTTGTCTCGTTTTCGCGGGGTGCGCTTCGCGCCACACAGCACACTTTATCCGAGGAGCATCCGTAGGACATTCGTGGGACGTCCTCTGGGACGTCTTCAAGAGGTCTGTGCTACATGGGCTGCGGCACGGGATGTCGCCTCTTCTCATTATGCTCGAGCAACATTGCTTGCACTTAGCAGAAAACCTCGCACAATTGAAATTTATTGCAATTTACTGAGAAAATGATGGTTTTCGATTCGGAAATCTATGAAGATTCGGATTAAGGATGTAATGCTTCAAAAGTGTGATGTGTGATGTGTGATGTTCTTCGTGGGAAACTTCGAATAGTTCCATTTGCCTTGCCGTTTTCCTAAAGTTTTTCTTATAATTTAGGGGTAAAAATGGGACTTCTAATTGGTATCACAATATGTGATTATTGCTTTTGATTGATACGTTCTCCTTTATGAGAGATCTAAAAGAATATTCTAATCATAGGCAGTAATCTCAGCATTATCTATGCGTATCAAAGGACATTAGGTAAGCTGCTTTTTCTGCTGAACGTGGGCATTGTCACGTGTCATTTATATAGCTACGCTGCGGTCATGCGGACAGGATTGACGTATGCGTTATTATGTAACGGGTGACTGCAATTTGTTTACACAAAATAAACACAGAATTGACGATGAGAATAAGGTCTTGCCGGGAATGCCGAGCGAGTGATGTTTTTTTCTCGCCAACTGCGAGGAATTCAAATCTCTTCCATATTTCTCATCTGTCCGCCTCATCTTTTCCAGCGATCTATTTAATCGCTATTAATTGGACGACGAAGAGATCTAAAGTCGCTCGGCCGTCGTATTATTCATTAGATTCCTTTGGGATACGGATTTACGTTGAATTTATGGAATAATCGGTTGAATTTATTTCCTCGCGCGTTTCCTTGCGCGCGCACACACACACATACACACAGGCGCGCAGATGAGAGTAACGCAAATCGTTAGGATTTCTCGTAGACTCGCTCACCCGTCCGAGACTAATCTCGCTCAAGAGGCACGAATTTCTTGCCATATGGATTTAATCTTATCTCACGCTCTTCCGCAGACGCGCAGCCCGAAGAAGGCAAGGCGCGCGCGGCGGAGAGTCTCGGAGAGTCTGAAAATATCTAACTAGTGGTACTTGACTGTTGGCTACGCGGCGACTTTCAAGACACCCTGTAGGCACGCTCAGACCGACGAGTGTGTTCGCGTGTGTACATATAAACGTCGGAGGCATATACTGCACCGAAAGTGGTTGACCCTGAGAGAGCCCGGCACAAAGGACTGATTCACCCCGGGGCCAATGCGGAGTCTCGGCTGAGGAAGGAGCCCGGCGTTCACCCGGGTCGATTTTGTACGATCCTTTCTTCGTGGCTGTCTACAAGTGACATAATCCACGGGGACAGTGGCACATTAATGTTTTCAACCTTAGAAACTGCATCACACCGCGAGGATCGCTCTTGAGTCCTCCCACGGTCGCTTTTATTTCAATAATGGCGCGCGTCGCGCTGAAGGAAAGAGAGAGAAAAGGGAGCTCCCTCATATCCATGAGTGCCGCGAAATAGTCAGGAGCGACCGCCGTGAAACTTGCACTTTCATTTATTCTATACATGTGTATCTCATTGCTTATTTCTCCAGTCACTTTCTTGCGTCTTTTTATTAACGTAGAATTAATATTAGCTGCGATTATATAAGGGAAATCTTTTACTATGATAAATTAACAACCTCTGTCGCGTTGATTCGCGCGCGAGAAATCACACGCGAAAACACGCCAATGCACTTAGCGCGATGACGATGCACTCGGTGTCTCCCCGAGTCAACCGTCAACACCTCGTCATCGTCGTCACTTCCCCTTATCACCGGGACACACATATTCCGAACGTACAATTATCTCGGGAAATGAGCTGGTGATAAATGAAATTCTCTTTCACTCACCGTCATTTTGCTCCGGCAGCGTTGTACCCTGATTAACTGCATACTTTGTCACGCTATATTTTCGTGCTCGCACCGAGCTACCGCCCGGCACGTATCCGCCGCGGCGGAATTCGACGTATCTTGCACATTTTAGCGGTGAAAGTGACTTACGCTCTCGCGAAAAAAGAACTACGATCGTAACGTCGCCGAAGTGTCGCTCGATTTCTCCGGTTTGCATTCGCGAGGACCAGCGGTCGAGCGCGGCAAGAAGCTATGGCGAAAGGGCGTGCAAACTCGACGTACACTCGCCGACGTTGATCCCTCGACACTATGTATATCTGTTAAGGAAGTTCGCTATAGCGCACCACAGATGTATATATATTGTACATCTAATGTACACAAATGTATATGCCTAGGATAAAGAATGTGTATTAAAATGTAATCTTCAAAAATCTACAATGTATCTTCGTAGAGAAATGTTGTTGCTTTGCATCCGTGCGCATAAATTTTAATTCTACACGCCTTCAACAGGTGTTTTAGAGTCTAAAGATGAAATAATATATCGGTCCTGATGCTTCT